CCGAGAATGTTTCCTTTAACTGAGTTGGATCCTTCAGCAATTAGCCGAATACACCTGAAAGTCTTTCCCGCTTTGTTCCATAACACAAGATGCAGATATATGACGGAGACGTGCCTCTGAGTGTTTAGGGGGGAAAACAATCACTGTGCCATCTGTTAGTCTGTGTGATAAATTATCAGCTTCACTGCTAAAGCAATTAGTTTCTGACAGTTTGAGCAGAATCAATAATTTGCAGAGAGTAAATCATAGCTGCATGAAATCTCACTTTTCCTCAACAAAGAGAGATTTGTTAATTGGGCGACGTTTGCGAGCGTTCCGCGAAATCAAAGGTATTATTAACGTAAACAAATGAGACGACGAAAAGACAAATTGTGGCTCGTTTCGCACATCATTAGCATCGCAAGTGACAAAGTTTCTCAAAGCTGAGATCAAGGAAGAGGACAAGCATGCTGTTAATTAGTTGTTTTTCATTGACTAACTTTCTGGAGGCTATGAGAGGTCAAAGGTCATGTGCTTCTCGCTGTCTAAATCCTCAGCAAAAGTTAATAAGTCATTTACAATTCAAATTTTTATTAATATAACCATTTCTGAGTAAATGTTCCTGACTGCACTCCATTAATGCAAATGAGTTAGCGAGATAAACACACAAACAACAACAGGTATGGAAGTAGAATTTTAGCTAGCTAAATGGTTCTGTGTTTAAAGAAAAAGCAGGTGATTAATTTAGCTTTGAAGATTTTGTGTGTTACCAAGATGAACAATTGTAGAAAAAGTCATTTAAGTTGCCAAGAGGTTGCCATTAAGTTTGCTAAACACATGTGGAGGTAGTTTCATTTGCAAACAGCTTGCATGCTACCAACACATCTGGAATTAGCAGTTTAGCTTGTTAATAGCTTTTGTGTTAGTGAGCTAAGCAGGTTTGGAAACAGTGGTTTATTCTGCGAATAGCTTGCGTGATAGCAACAGGTTTGGAAACAGCAGTTACGCTAACTAACAGCTTTTGTATTGGCAAGCTCGACAGGCGTGGAATAGCAGCTTAGCTTAGCCATGTAAGAAAGCTAAACGTGGTGTGTAAGTAGTTTAGTTTGCTAACAGCTTGTGTGTTGATAAAACCGCAGTTTAGCTTGGGATAAGGTTGTAATTAAGCAAGCTAAATTGGTGTGGAGGTGGTTTCATTTGCTCAAAGCTTGCATGCTTGCTACATATGGCGAATTAGCATTCTAGCATGCTAATAGCTTTTGTGTTGACAAGAAAAACAGGTTTGGAAGTAGCGGTTTATTTTGCTAACAGCTTGCATGCTAGCTAGGTTTGGAAGCAGCAGTTGAGCGAGCTGAAAGCTTTTATGTTAGCAAGCTAAATAGGTGTAAACATAGCACTTTAGCTTACTAATAGGTTTTTTTTTATGTAGCAAGCTAAATAGGTGAGGAAGTAGTTGTTGAGTGTGCTCACAGCTCATGTGTTAGCATAAATAGGAATCACAATTGCAGCTTGGCTTGACTAGAGGTTATTTGTTACAAAGCTAAACACAGTGTGGCAGTGGTCCAGTTTGCTAACAGCTCACACAACCGGTGTGAAAATTGCACTTTCACTTTATAAAAGCTATCGTGTTAGCAAGCTACACTATTGTGGACATAGTGACTTATTCTGCTAAGAGCTTGCAGCTAGCAGCAGGTGTGGAAATAGCAGTTTTTATATTAGCAAGCATATTTTGTTGATCTTTACATATTTGTTTGCTATAATACGTCTAGTATTTTGAAATTATTATTGATTGGTAACGATGTGCTGATGTAAAAATGCGAACAATCTGTCTTTTACGTGAAGCAGGTTTTAGATACCGTCAACCCAGCACCCTGACCTGAACTCTCAGTCCAGCTCTGGCTCGGCCTCTCAGCGGCTCTTCCCCCAGCAGTGCCAGTGTAATGGGACACTGCTAAATGATGCTGAGGGCGCTGCACTGCAGTCATGGCCTGTTACACCTGACTCGCTCCTTGCTGCCGTCCATGCACTCGGCTGTTGTTAGCTTGTCTCCTCCAGGGTAATTTATGACACTATCAGACTCATCGGCTGCTGGCTACTGGACGTCCTCATGCTAAAACTAATTACTTAAACTAATTACTTGAGCCTAATAACTTTGATATGCTCTGCAAGTGTTCCTTATTCTTGGTGTATAATACATAGTAGAGGTGGCTGGGGCACACAGGAACAACACCCTGCTTGCTAATGCTGCCATCCACAACTGATACCCAAGCATGTTAATGCACTTTAAAAAGAGTAAGTATAATGCTGACTTGTGGCTTTTTTTTTATGTCAGTAAATATGCTACTGATGCTAAATACTACTGCTAAGAACGGGTGCATCTTTTCCTGGCTTCCTCAGCATGACACATGTCGACTTGGCTGCTTCATTTGGATTTCTTATTTGCAAACTTTGGGAGTGGCTCAGCACGTAGCAGCCTTGTGCGTACAGTGTGTGTTTGTTTGTGCATGTGTGTAAATCTATGCGTTATCCTTACCATCTATGTGTCTTTGTTCGCTCTGGTCCCTTTCATGACCACCCATCAAAGGTCAGTAAATATGAAGATTAAAATGGTTGCTATGATTAAGTATGACTGAAATCTGTAAATATTTTAGAGCATTCTTTATGTTCAATGTGTGAAGAAGTTGTGTTGATATTAGCTGCTGATGATGGACTTATCAGATTTGCTTGTTAAGAATTATCTTCCATTTTTGTTAAATCATGCACTGAAAGCTGGAATTTTTTTTGTCATAGTGTTAATTATTTTCAACAAAGTGCCTTCTCATGATGTTAATAATAAATCTTGCAGTGATGCTTTTATTACTGCTTGTGTGTTAGGAAACACCAAACTGTTTGCGAGGGGATTAATCTGCTCTGTGTAACATGAGAATCTTTAGTGGCGTTTTATGTATTCGCACCCATTTGCATCACAGTATTACTTTACAAAACTTGTGCTGTCGAAGTAAGAGTATGTGGGGTTTGTTTTTTTTCCAATTTGACGAGCCCGGCGCCGGCAGACTGTCTTGGCTTGTAAAGCAGCAGTTTTCTTGTGCCAAGGTTAAGCTGAAACTTTAACCCACTCATCAGCGTTACAGATTAGCTTCAAGTGGCCAAACCTTTGCAGAGACATCGCTCAGATCAGAGAGGGAATTTCTACTAAGGATTGTTCTTCACCTGCTTTATCTCTGGTTTCACTGCAAAAGTAGAATTTTCAATATTCATAAAAACAGTATTTTTTTTTTTTTCAAATCTGTCTTCTGTTCATTCAGTAAATGCGTGCTCAATTGTACACGTGCACTTCATTATTTGTGCACTCGTACACAGACTGTGGTTAAAGCCACATCCCTATACAGCTAATGAAAAGTGACAGCCAGCCAGTGCTCCAGGGTACACAAGGTTAGATAACCCCGTGCATACAGACACAAACACACACACGGTCTCCTCTAAGGGGTTATTTCCTTGCAGCCTGTGCTCCTGTTGGAGGTGTCCAGTGTGAGTCCTTAGGTTTCGCCCTCCTGTCTCATGTGTCACAGCATGTTGACACATATAGAGGCAGTGATGTATTATTGACGGTGTCTGCAGATAACTTGGACACTGTACATTAGGTAAACACAAGTGCAATTACCTCCACAAGGATACATGCATAGGAGTCTAATTGCTCTGCATAGACAATGACTGATAATATCGCTGCAAAAATAACGTGCGTGTCCGCCAGGTTTATCTTCCTGTGCACAACGGTGCAGAGCAACGCAGTTAAAAGCGATTTAAATCATCGCAATGATAACTAGTTTGGATAAAAATCACTGCTGCACATCCAGCTTCTCTAAACATAAATAAGGTGATAATAAAAAAGAGGAATGGCCTTTTACATCAACGTGCGCTTAGGGCCTCTAACCAGCTTTCGTTTGTGTATGAATGGGCGTCTATATGGGGAAAGGCTCATGCTGCAACAGTGGCTAATTCCTGCTAATCCCAGCGTATCTCCGACCACTTAGAGATGGTTTCCAATGGCAGCTCTGGAGCAGGGGAATTGCTAGTGAGATTAGCTCGCGTTAGCTCCTCCTCTGTGGTTTACACTCACAGCCAGGCCGGGCTAGCCTGCCACAGCCTCCATGCTAACCTTTTGCACAGAAATGGATTAACTGTTTTTCCAAAAATGTCCCGTGTCTCTTTTAGAGAACAATGTAAGTCTGATTCAGCTTGTTTTGCTTTCATGTAGGCTTTAGTTTCGTGCATGTTGTGTTGATTATTTGACAGTTTTGTCACATCTGTGATCACAGAATCAGAGCTTGTATGTATGTGATATTATGTGGCTACTTTGTTTTCTCTGCAGAACTTTCTTCTGCACATTTCCTTGCAGAGATAACATTCTGTACTTGAACATATTGATTTGAATATCTTGTGCTTATATATTCCGGTAAATATTACATTGGTGATCTGATATCAGTTTCTGAAATTGAGAATCTGCTTTGATTGGCTCTGAAAGTTGGAAACAGCTCTTTGAGAGTCAGCTAAGAGATGAATAGACTGCAAACTTCTCAATTCTGCATTTGTCTGTGATGGAACAGTGTATTTGCTGCCTGTATTTCTGTGTGTTTGAGGAGGTGAAAAATCAACCCAAATCTGTCACATATGTTGGATCTACCTCCAGTAAAACACTTGTACTTCCAGTTTAACTCCTAAATAGAGCATTCTGAACAAAACATACCAATCAAAGAAATGCAAGGTGGGTGTTTTGAATGGAAAACACCCACTGTTTCAGGTGAATTAACCACTATATATTATCTAGTTGCACACTTAACATTACGTCTCCTTCAGCTGAGCGCTTCACTAATATGTTTACTAAGTTATCACATGGATTAATAACACCTCAGGCACAACAATGCGTGCATAATGTAGGTCATATAGTAAGTTCTCTCCCATCTGCTACAGTGACCCATATGTCTTTTGTTTCCCCTCCGTTGTGTAGGAGATCTCTCCTGAAGATGTTTCCACAATCAGGGAAGTCGATTGTCTTTGACAACTTTCCAGATCCTACTGACACCTGGGAAATCATCGAGACAATCGGGAAAGGGACCTACGGGAAAGTCTACAAGGTGCTCAACAAAATCGATGGAAGCAAAGCAGCTGTGAAGATACTGGATCCCATCCATGTAAGTTGTGTGTTTGTAGCTGTTGCAATTCAAGCAAAAAAAAAGAGCAACACACACATTTTATTAATGTGTTATGTTTTTGTTTTACTATATATGTTTGTCACGTTCAGGTAACTTAACTTTTTAGCCCATGTCTTGTGTTAAATGACACTTTCTCTTAATGTGGTTAAAGTCACATGTCTTGTCCTGTGCTGGTCATGACCTCGCACACATGTTGTAGTCGGTGCTTGTTAAAGCAGCGATAAGCCTGTGGTGTGTTCATGCTCGTGCTGATGGAAGGAGGGCATGTTGCTGAACTTATGGCCCTACATCTGTCACATTTATTTTATACATAAAGGCTGAATGTATGTAAGACTAGACACAAACACAGCTGACATGTGACCATCGAGTTCTTCTTTCTTTTGCCCTTTGTTAACCTCACAGCTTGTTCTTTCAGTTGTTTCAGTTCCTCACAGTAATATTGTATTGTACCTTAAATATCATTTAATTTAATTTTGTCCCAACAAAATGCATTTTTTTGACTTGCACATTTGAGTTTTTGTTCAAACCAGTGACACTATAACTTCTAACAGAATTTTATTTAGTGGCATTTGAAGTGCACGTGCTTCATGTGTTTTAATGTTAAGATTAGTCTATGCTGTTTTTTTTATTAGTCTTTTTCAGTCACAAAGGTTATTATTACATTACATTTTAGGCTTTTCTTTTAATGCAATAGTCCACCGCTATCTTACAAAAGAGTGGTATTACTAGAAAGGATGCAGCCTCTTTACAATAAAAGATTTAATTGGTGGAATTGGTGTAAAAAGTTCAGTAAAAGTCTATTTTCTCAGCTCTCTGCTAAATGGTGAATTGTGAGCGTAATATCTGACACATTAGCTCAGCTCTTGGCAAGATACACGCCATTCTGCTCTGCTTTATTCACTTCTAACTATTCCTCCATCTACAACCATCAGCAAATTATCTCAGCAAATTGCCTCAGTTCACTTCACTCTGATCATTTTGGGCTTCTCCGCTTGTGTGGCGCTTTAGCATCGAGCCAAAACACATTTGGCACCAAAGCAGAAGTGTGTGAAGTAAAAAAAGAAAGAAAGGAAAAAAAACTGGCCTTAAGCAACGAACACTTGCTTTAGACAAGATGTGTAGCAAAGAAACATGATGTTACTACATGATAGCTTGGGACTGATCCGCCCAATAAAGCAAGGTTGTTGTTTTTTTTTAAAGTGACAAGATTTACCAACTACAGAATATTACTTTACAAGATGTATGACATTTCTGAGCAGTAATATAACACGTAGTTAGTTTAGATAACGTATTATTCTCATGTTAGATTTCAGTTTAATGTCACATCAGCAAAGGCCACAGTTTTGTCAGATGTGACCATTAGAAGAATATACTTTATACTGCTTCTGTGTTTTAGCTGAGACAAGTTCTAAAAGTTGACATTAACGTGTCCTTCATAGACAGAAATGCCCTCTGATGTGTGTTTTGAAGGTACATTAAACTATATGGTTTATTTAGAAGCTGTAATGAGCAGCCATTTTCATCTACTAAATACAGACTTCCATTTTCAAGTCTCATTAGTCTTTAGTGAATTTGTTACTGTTTCTCATTATTGAGAAATGATTGTTTGCAGACCACTAGTCTGTGAGGACCATCATTACCATAATCTTAATCACTGCATTGATTGTTTTATGTATAGACTCATTACATACAGTACAACTTGACTGAAAGGTCCTTGCTGTATGTTAGGTTGTGACATTTTGAGGCCTTACAGTGTAACGATTGTGTTTTTCCTGGTGCCAGTATCATCGTTAATGAAACAAAATGAGTTGTTCAACACTGTCAAGTATTTTTTGCTTCAGCTGAATTGCAGCCTGCGGTTTGGGACCCAACAAAAAGGTCATCAGATAAATCTAAGGGGTCATGGGAGATGTGAAACCCAGATATTTCTTTCCACAGTTTTTTGTTGTTTTTCTCTAATAATTGTTATTGTTTGGTGAAATACTGGATAGTTTCTGCTTCTCTGGCCTCTGCTCTGACAATTTGACAAGAGGAAATAGCTTTGGCTGAGCCACTTAAGATTCAGACATATGAAACCTGTGATATGGGCGAATACAGTTGCTTGTACAAAATGTTGGGAACCTCTTCAGTAGAATACTGCACATTCTACTGGTGCAGATGTGCATATCATGTTCTATATTTGTGTCTGTTGGATAATATTATACCTTTTGAAGGTTAAATGTGCACCAGCACGATTTACTGTATAGTTAAAATGATTTTGAGCTTTAGTATAAGACATAGGGTATAAGAGTGATAACAATAATTAAAAGAAGTCAGTGATTAGGACTTTGCACATGAACCAAAGAGCAGCATGTAAAAGCTTCCCTGCTTTCTTGAATAAAGTTAGTCACTATCTGTCTTACGCGTATGCAAGGCCTTATCTGTATGCAAAAAAAAGACCCTCATATTGAGCTTGTTTGACAGATAATGCGACTGAAAAGTGAGTAATAATTTTAGTGGAAATGGTAATTGTTGCATTTGTTTTTCCTTTATTTAGTGAGTTTTTCTGCAGTATGCCTAGTTGACAAGAATGAACCAAAAGACTCCCTATAGATCTCTATAATGTCATGTCAATTCATTAAAAATGCAAAATGTAAAATAAGTGATTGCAGAAGTGTTCACACCTTTAAAGTGCCAGGGTTATCTCTGTAGCACCGTGATGCTTTATTTATATGGATATTGCACCATATTGCAATTTCAAGAGTACTTAAATAATTGTTTGGTCATGATGTCTGTCAAATATGAATCAGGATAGGGAGGATGGTTAGCTTTGGTTGGCTAAAAGGCTAAATCTGTCCAACAAAAGATTTCTGTTTTTGTAGCAATTTCACAAACAAAATGTGAAGTGCTAATTTGTGAGCTTTAATCAAAGGCATTTTTGTTTTGTTTTGACGAAAGATCTAGGCTAACTAGCTTACAACTGCTTCCCTTTGTTTTCAGTATTCATAGATAGCTAAGCTAACAGTCTCCTGGCTGTGGCTTTATATTTAGAGGGATAGCATGAGAGTGGTATTGATCTTGTTAAATTTTTACCAATATGAAGCAAATATTCCTTTAATCCAGATATTTGGTAATAGTGTGCTGCTGTTCTTGTTTTTTATATCATTGGGAATTAAGGATCATAAAATGAAATCACGATTGGTGAAACATCAGCTACACATTGGTCTATAGGTGACAACATGTGCCTATTTGGTCATTTTAACTGATCTGTGCGCCTGTTTTTCAGGATATCGATGAGGAGATCGAAGCAGAATACAACATCCTCAAGGCTCTGTCCGACCACTCCAATGTTGTCAAGTTTTATGGGATGTACTACAAGAAGGATGTGAAATGTGGGGATCAGCTGTGGCTCGTGTTGGAGGTAGGAACACCAAACCATTGTGTTTTTTGTCATTTGACGGACATGTGTAGCGTGACTATACGCTGTGCTGTGCAGACAAAGAGCGTGTAGGTGCAGATTAAAGGTCTGATTGTTCTTCACACAGCATGTCTCGTCAGGTATATGCATGGGTGACCAAATCAGAGCAGGGATTACGTAACAGTTTTAGCCACCACAGGCAGTCTTGGTGTTTACTTATAGGTCACCTGGGGGATTTGGTTGCAGGCCAGTTAGCATCATGGGGGCAGGGGTGAGCTTGCGTGCCGTGGGCGCCCTGCTGAGAGCAGCAGAGCAGGGATTTCTGTTCACAGGGGCTGTCGCAGAGAGTTAGTTTGTACGGCGAGAAGGTTGGAGCACAGGTTGAAATGTCCCCTGTTGTCGCTGATTTCCCTTGTTTGTTGTACAATACACTGAAATTGTTTCATTTTTTATTTTTTGCATTTGACTTTGCTTTCTTGCACCTGCTGAAGTACAGGAAAGGGAAGATGCAGCTGTGAACTTGTGATATTTTTCACAAAAGTTCAAGGGGACCTTAGTGCAGCTGCTGCTTTCTGTACATCTAAAAAAGCTTTTCCCTCCAGCTCCCCCAGTTCTCCGTCTTTCATATTTCATTGCCTGCTGTAGCCCTTTTGAAATGTCAAGCTCCAGACAAACATGTAATGGAGGTCGACCTCAGAGGAGAAAAAGTGTTTGCGGGGTCCAGCACGGTGTCAGATATCGGGTTTTCTTTGCCGCTTGACGTTCTGACTGTAATTTTTGTTCCTGCTTTGATACGGAGCTGTGCGAACCTGAAGATATCCAGTAAACATGGTCAGCACACGTGATTAGGTTTGATAAGAACTAATGCAGGAAAGGTGCCACATTAGTTTTACAAAAGGTCGTTGATGTTTAGAGACTGTAATGTAATGTTTTTAATCACGCCAGAAGTATGGCTCTAGGAATTGAAATAGGGTTGTTGATCCACCACTATGTTCCTGACTGACATACGTCATCCACTGTTACATAAATCGACATTGTAGTAGTAGTGGTGGCTTAGCGGTTAACGCTTTGGGCTACTGATCAGAATGTTGGGGGTTCAAGCCCCAACAATGCCCCGCGGTTTGACTGATTCTGTGCTCTGACCCAGCTACTTAACAAGGTGGGATGTGTGAAAAGACAATATTCCCGGGCAAATTTGATCATATATCTTTGACTCCCAGAGGACAATTCTTGCTGGTTTTGGAAATTCCCTAAGTGCTCTTTTGGTGTCACCTGGACTTTCATGATTGAGGGCAGTTTAATAGCTGGACAGATGCCATGAACTTTGGTTTACATGTGCATGTTTGCCTCAGGATGAATTGCTATCACTTTAAAAGTGTCTCAACTTTTCAGCCATCGTCATGGTCAGGCTGATTTGTTCAAGACTTGAGCAAAAATTAGGAAACTCCTATCGACTTCAGTTGGGTTTAGCATTTGTTGGCAAGTGTGCATGCTAGCAGACCAAACTAAGATGATGGTAAATAACTGCTGAAAGTGCTGACGTTGTTGTGAGCACGTTGCCATTGACCAGTGATTTAGCAACACAGCTTTGCTAGCAAAAATGATGCCTAACTCGTAGGCAAACCCTTCATTTGCTTAGCGCATTTGCAAACCACGGCCCTTCTGATACACCCCTAACTTTATATGGTCAGAGCCAGAACAGATGCACAACTGGTTCATATTTACAAAACATAAGTATGTAACATAAAAGGGGGAAATGGGATTTTCATTTGTGTTTTTCAGTTTGCTGGTTTAACTACATGGCATTTTAACTTATAGTCAATTATGCATACATTTTATTTCGTCTCAGCAAAGCATCTTTATGTGGCTGCGTTTTGAAAGCAGCAACCATCTCTGCCAACTGTGTTCCACAGTGCTGGAACAGAGTCCATATTTCTGTAATCCAAGCTCAGTGGACTTTGCATCAACAGCAGCAGTGTTATGCTAACCCAGTAGATAGTTTTCACCTCTCCATCTTGTGTTTCTTTCCCTTTTCATCACCGTCCTTCCTCCTGACCTTTGCAGAGGACCCTGCAGTTACTTCACTGAGATACCAAGACGCTGAATAATCAGGCTGTGCACTGCGTTAGAGCAACACAAAGATGTTCATCTGAGAGGACGGTTATTATTTTCCACTGTAGTTTCACGTCACGTTAGATGATTTAAGCTGCCATGGCTCAAATATGAGAGTAGAAACACATTTTTTTTTGTTTTGTTTACTCCCTGTTTGCTCCCTGTGGCTGCATATCCTCTTTCAAAATTTCCCTTGCAAAAAAAATCTGCAGCCAGCACTCCAAATCTGGTGGCTAATCCTGAGGCTGAAATCACTGCCTGACAGTTTAGTGTATGGCAGTGTTGGAGCTGTGTCTGTATGTGTGTGTGCTCTGAAGTAGATGCACATGGGGTTTTAGCAGTGAAAAGACAGGAAAGCAGGGAGTGAGGTGGTCATTCACCATGGTTACTGTCCCTCCTTTCTAAACTGTAATTTTCCATCCTTTAGCTCTGCTGAGAGGAGCCTTTCTCTGCCCTGCGCTGACAGCAGACCGCTCATTATGAGCAGAATTCATACAAATTGCATCCTCCACTTTGTTAGCCTCTCATTGGGGTCTGTGAGCTTTTGGCTTTGCCTCTGTAGTGTGCTCCTTTATGATGGCAGATGTGGGCAGAGATGAGCAAGCTTTCATGTATGATATTGCTACCAGAGTGCCTAAAAATACTTCAAAGATAGTGGTGATGGAGCGACTTTTATTCTCTAATTGAAAATAAGAAAGTCATTTTGGCGTGTGTTCCATTTGTGAGACCCCATGTTCACTAAAAGAACCTGTTAGAGGAAGGCCAATATGTAGTGCAATCTTTTAAAGCTCCTCTTTTAAGGACCTTCTTTATGCCAAAATTAAAATGTTGCAGAACGGAATTTGCTTCACTCTTTGGCTGTCTCGTCTTTTGAGTTTTGAATTAAATGATCATTCTTTTTTACTGCTTTGTTGTTACTAGTGTTGATTCTAACAGCAATAATTCACTGTTGAAGTGCAGATCAGCAGAGTTTATCCATCTGTTCCATGTAAGACATTGTTTATGATATCTCCATTGTGACTTCACTGAACACATCTTTCTCAATATGCCAACACATCTCCAACATCATCACAATTTGTAACAATTGTTCATTTGTTTAGTCTCAGTGTCAAATTTTTGCTGCCTCTCCATCAGGATACTGTGATGGGGTTTGGAGCCGATGTGTCATTCCTCAAAAAACTTTACATTGGAGTCATGTAGCTACATCGCACATTGAGACAAACTGAACCCTAATTCATCAACACTGCGTGTTTTAATGACAGTAGAATTGTGATACTGACAACACTGAGCAGGGTAAAAGAAATCTCAGCAATTTAAGGCTTTTTTTCTGTCGAGTATTTGTCACAAAGTCAATAAGACTGTTGCTGCACATGTTTACTTTGTGTGAACATATTATTCTACTCATTTGTTATGGAATTTCAGTAACTGAACACATTGTATTGATCTAGATAACCAAGTACTTTTAAAGTGCAAATGTGTTCATAACAACAAGCAACAATCTTTGCTGGGTTTCTACTTCTAAATGTTGAAAATTGCATTTATTGTGAGTATTTTAGAAACACCTGTCAATATGTATATGTCCAGATAACTGATGGGTTTCATAATTAGGTGATGGAAGAAATACTTGGACATGAAGGGTTTGTCTGAAATAGAATTGAACTGGCAACCTAAAGAGTTTCAGTTTTACAGAACAAACTTGTCACACTGTCCATGCAGCACTACTTTGAACATGCCACTGTGGAAGGTGGCTGAAAAGAAGTCATTCCTGAATAACAAGCCACAACACAGCCCACAATGAGTCTGTCAAAATGGCACTTTGAGAATAATATAATAGCAGAAGTCTATTGTGATTTGGAGGAAATTCCCTGAGGTTTTCTAAGAAGCGGACCCGTCCATCACCTTTGAGCCTGACAGTGACTGAAGCACAAAGACAGAATAAAACTGGACAAGGGCCTGAAGGCTCAGGAGTCGCCAAGCCGATGGGTAAACTTGTCTGACAATGCTTGTATGCAAAGCTAGCAGAGAAGATACTGTCACTCCCAGTGGTGCTCGTGAAACGCTTAAACAAGGAAAGCTTTCGTTCATCTATAATAAATTAGCAAAACAGAAAAGGTTTCCACTTGTGATTGCAGATTGGTTTGATTAGATAAACATTTAAGCCTTAAATGAGCTGACAAAGTGTATATTTAATCATTAAATTAGTGAAATTAAAAACACGTGGCTTCTTTGTTGTACACCCTGAGAAAGTCAACAGTGAGCTGCTGTGTCCTGCGTTAGTCTTTGTCCTCGTTCGTCCCTGCAACCTCTGCAGTCATTAATTGCCAATGAGGTTTAAAATGGTATTCCTTGTTCAGACTTTTCAATAAACAGCGGCAGAAAGTAGACACCTCGGCTATTATGCCCGTGTAAACGATAAGGCCGCCGTAACAATGGCAGTGCTTTTCTCTGGACACGATCCAGCAAGTCACGCATGCGGGACCACAAACGCTTCTTCTGGCACGGCAGCTTCCATACATCCGACAACGCAGCTGTAAATGAAAAACGCACCGAAACGTACATCAAAGATGACTAAAGTCAGCACCTGCGTGTTTTGTTTGTTTCATCTCATTATTTTTTTTTCCACTACTTCTTTTGCTCGTCTTTGATGGACTACTTTCATTAACATGACTAAACAAGCACCTGACCTCATTTGTAATGGAGACTATCCCGTTCAGTATTCAGCGTATTCAGTTTATTCTTTGAAAGCAACGATGAGCAAGACGTGGATGGAAACCGTGGATCTTAACCGACCTTTTTATGTATTTTAAGGAAATCTGTGGAGATGCAAATTCATAGATGTGGAAGTTTTACCAGCCTCTTAATTACAACTACAACTAAAACAATGTAGTTTTGCAGCCAGTTTTGCAGATATTATTCAATCATGAGCAATCCGTCAAATTGACTTTTCTCTTCAAGCTTTATATTTCTTTTGTTGATGCCTTGCTGTGCTGTGCTTTGCTACGAAGGTTCATATTTATAGTTTCCTTGGCTAAAACTGCATATTTTAACATGACCTTTGTGCCATTTTGTTGTTAACCACACTTAATGGACAACACAATATTGTCTACATCTGATACTGCTCATCTTCTGTATACTCAAGTGATCTGATCCGATGGAAACAAGAGATTTGCTTGGTTTGTATCTCGATTGTAAAGATAGCCCTCAAACGAAACCCTAATCTTCTTGTATTTAAATATCAGCACTCAAGCTCTCACTTTATAGAAAGGTTGGGAAATGCCATTTAATCCGTTCAAGAATTAAATCAAACCAGGTCTGAAGTTTCATATATCGCTTCCTCCCTGCAGGGATTTGGGTCTTCACCACATCTCTAATAATTAATGTTCATGTCCAGCATCGCTGTGTGGACGTGGGCACCGCGGCTGAGGTGAGAGCACCGGCGTTTAGCTCAGCTTAATCTAGGACGCCTCATTAATATGGATTTGTCTGTCTGCCCTGTGTAATTTAATGATGACAGGTGATATGGCAGCAGTGATGTGGACTGACGTCAGGCGCAGCTCATTGTCAGAGGGCTGTGTTGTCTGTGAAAACCTCTGCGGTATTCTCTGCTTAGCTGCAGTTTGTCCGCACGTCTGATAGCAGTGAGAAGGAGTGATTAAGCTCCCCATGTGGCAGCTGAGATACATGCCATCCATCCTGCAACAGCTCTCTGGGCTCCTGATGGATAGGTAGATTGATAGGCAGATAGAAAACAGACCTGAGGCCGGGTGTTGAAAACTTATGCCAGCGCCTATTCAAGGTCAAGTACTTGATTCACTCTCAGCATCGAGTGTATAGAAGAATTACTGAACTGCTCCACCGGCACCCACGTGGGACTATGGGACAGAGTTTCTGTTGGAAGTCATCGTTAATATTTCTGTCTGGAAAGTCAAATAACACAAAATTGCAACGATAGGACTGAACCTGCCTGTAAAGACACAAAACTGCGACAAGGAGACATAAAACATCTATTGAAAGAGAATTACAACAAAGAGACTCAAAAAAGAGACTGAAAACGGCTCACAAAAAGGCACAAAACTGCCTCAGAGAAACACAACATACCCACATAGACACAGAATTAAAACAGAGACACTCAAAATAGCCATGAAAAGGCTAAAGCTGACTACAGAGAAACACAAAAGTACAAGAAAGAGACAAAACACACCCCTTAGGACATAGAAATACTACAAAGAGACACAAAACTGCCACAAAGAGATACGGTACAGCTTTTATGACATAGCATTACTACAGACTCAAGAATTAAAGCAAAGACACTCAAAACAGCCACAGAGACTGAAACTGACTGTAAAGAAACACAACACTACCACAGAAACAAAACACACTCTTAGAGACACATAATGACTATAGAGAGACTCAAAACAGCCACAAAGAGAATGAAAACTGCTCACAAAATGAAACAAAACTACAGCTAAGAGAGGCAACACACCCTATAAGACACAGAATTTCTACAAAGAGACTGAAACTGACTACAGAGAAACACAAAAGTACCACAAAGCGACAAAACACACCCTTAGAGTCACATAATTACTACTAAGAGACTCAAGACTGCTCACAAAAGACGCAAAACTACCACTTAGAGACACAATACACCCTTGAGGGCACAGAATTGCTACAGAGACTCAAAATGGCCATAAAGAGACTGAAACTGACTACAAAGAAACACACAACTACCACAAAGAGACAAAACACTCTTGAAGACAGAATTATAACAAAGAGAATTAAATTTACCAAAAAAGAAACACAAAGAGACACAACACACCCAGAATTGTGTTGAATAAGAATCGCATACTCGACCTTTAAGTTATTTATTAGGCAAAAAAAAGAAATCTCCTCTTTCGACCTTCTTCATTTGTGAAGCTTTGCTGCTTTAATCAGCTTTTACAGTCACTGTAAAGACATTTTTATTAATGTTTCACACTGTCTGATGGACAAAAGAAATCATTTGTGCTCTTATAAGATGTGACAGGAGTTTGTCACCGTTTTCTATAGTTTTATAAACTAAGCAAATTGTTAAAATCAATAGATCAGCCAATAAAAGTAAAAAATACATAATCGGGTGCCTTAAATTAAGTACTTTTGGTTTTGAAGTGTTCCTGGTGGGCTTTTAATGGAGGAGGCAGATTATTGCTTCTTTCTGTTAGCACAGAAACCCTTTTATGCCCTGTGGGTTGAATGATAATGAGATGACAAAATGAGTCCCTGCTTGGAGATTTGGGCGCACAACTGCAAATATTATACTTGTTTTATGACGCTGCTGTTGTGTGAGTCAGCACCTTTTTTTTTTCCTGATACTGTAGGTGTAAAAATTTTCAGTTTAATTATAGCACCAGCATTTCTGTATGGAGTGCCTACATGCAACGTTTTCGGTAAACCGTCCTTTCCTGTAATCATCCTGGGAAAATAAATATTGCATTGTGAGCCCCATGGTGTGCTTTCATAAACAATTCCTGTCATTTTCAATTTGCATTGAAGATTGTTGCTGTTGTATTAATGCTGCACTATAGAAGTTATTTATTAAAAATGTTTTCTAATATGTGCTGCACAATCTCTTTAGTATAATCCCTGCAGGGGACTGATTTTTATCCCCAGTAACCGCACACCACTGCGTGTTTATTGGCTAATTAGGCTTTCAGTTTACAAGTGTGGGAAATGGGTGTAATTATAAAAGAACAAGTGTTTATTACATAAAGAGATATAATGGAAATTTCCTGTCTGACACTGAATGTTTTGGATGTTTCTTTGCATGCAGTTCGGAGTAAAGATGTGTGCTGAAATGTAAAAATAAAAAAAATATATTCAGAAGAAATTGAAAAAGTGTGATGATGCATCTGTGGATGGTATCTTTTACCCCACAAAGTTACAGGCTCTGTGTTTACAAACAGCGTTCACATGCTACATCTACAATTTCTGTTTACTTCCAGCGCCCAGCACCGTGATTGACATCTCAGAGCTTTTTATATTTCGTATACCTCTGGCATCTCCCAAAGAAAGGCCCAAATTAAGGGTTATTATTGTTGCCAAGGCAACCTGAGGGGTAATTTTCTGTAATTTTCCAAGAGGAATTGCTATTGACAGTGGAGTCCATATCAAGATGCAGTACAACACAAGACCTGTAAACACAAAAATGAAACGTTTCTCGCTCAGACGAGCCGTAATGTCTATTTTTATCCGGTACGTTCTGTTCTATAAATGTGTATAATTTCTAATATAAATCTTGGCGCCGTCTGAAAAACATAAGATTATGCGCTTTTATTCGAGAATAATTCGCACATGTTTAATGTTTACCCCGCTTCGTCATCACCGCATAGATTAAACCCTGCGCACAAAATGTACATTCTCTCCACGGGCACGATTTTCACCTCCCACTAAGCTGCCTCAGAAAGATAAGCCTCTAAAGATTGACAGAATTACTCTCAGCATCCCTTTTCTCACTGTGAAATCTTGTGATCAAAAAGGTTTCATCCTGCTGTTTTTTTTTTTTTCCTTTTCCCTCCACGTTTAAATTCTGCATATCTAAGATGCCCCAGATTTCGACACATTGTATAAGCTGAGCTGCATGTGCTGACTCATGTCGAGTTTTTTCACCCATTGTCCTCCTTTTCTTTGTGGATTCTTCTGTTGCAGCTCTGCAATGGCGGCTCGGTGACAGATCTGGCCAAAGGCATGCTGAAGAGAGGGGACAGGATGGATGAAGCCATTATTGCGTACATCTTGCACGAGGCCCTCATGGTAAGTCCGACCATTTCGCCGTGCACGAGGGGAGACAATGGTGCAGCGTGGAGCTCAATGGAGCCACCTCTCCCTGAGTGAATTGCTTCAATGAAAAGAGTTTAAATGGGGTAATTTTGCAGGCAGGCAGGTGGTTGTCAGAAAAAACGCTGTTAACCTCCTTTTTTTTTGCCCCCCGCCCACAGGGCCTCCAACACCTGCACATCAACAAGACCATCCACCGGGATGTCAAAGGCAATAACATCCTATTGACAACACAAGGAGGCATCAAACTGGTGGACTTTGGTATGTTATGTGTCCCTATTTGCAAAAAAAACAAGCATTAACACCATGTCCTTTCTTTGGCACCGTCCCTCTCTGATCAGTGAAAATCATGTTATGGCTCTATTTAACAGTCGAGGGTCAAATCCATTACCTTCAGCTGTCTGCCAAATAAATTGTGCCTCTAATTAGTTTTCTTGAGTGCCTGGAATACATTTACACAACCAGACAAGGTAGCACATGATTGTACTTTTCCATTACACCCTATCTCTGCCGTTCTACCTCACGCGGCAGAGCACATTGTTGCTATTCACCCTGTTGTTTTCGCTCATTTGCTTTTGGGTTTTCTTAACCAAATGAGGCACTCCGAGCAGCACACCACAGTTCCTGGACTCGCGATAGGCAAAGTGACTATTTCCAGGAGATGACTCACCCCCTGTTTTCTGCAGGCGCCGAGAAACCAGCTGCCTGTTTTCATTACAAATAAAATCCCCACTCAACTTGTGTGTAGGTTTGCATTTAGCCTGCTAATTGTGGGCTTCTCTTAAAAGCCTTTTTTCCTAACCATGAAGCCCAAAGTGCTTGTATGTGGAGGAGAAGAGGGGGGTATTAATGGAATCACTTAATATCTGAATGTGAAGTAGCTAATGTGGAGCAGGTCCACCCTTTTGCACCAGAGTTTCTTCCTCCTTACAGTTGTCAGCACCTGTTTTATGGCAACGCTATCGAAGAGGAAAAGGTTGGAAAGCTTGGTTTTGAATCTAGTGATAAATCAGTCAAATCAAATCAAGTTTATTGTCATTTTGCTGTACATACACAGTAGTACAGGCAAGATGAGAGAGCGTTTCTTCAGGATTGTTCAACCAGTAAGTTTTGCAGAATGCACGTCTGGGATAAGACACTAAACGTACACTGTCTCCTGAAGGGGGCGCTGCATCCATGCGCGCCGCCATTCGTTGAACATGGCGAACCTCTTCAGGTCCTGGTAGGTCTTCAGGGACACAAAGACACACACAATGGTGTGATGATGGTGAAGCTGCAGATGCTGCCCAGAGCTAGCTGTCTGTCTGTCCGCCCAGAATAATGTCGTTCCCTCCAGCTGTATGTCCGTCTGGGATCCTGTCATGGAGCCATGTTTCTGTTAAATCAAACACACAGCAGTCCCTCCACTCTCTGCGGCTTTCTCTCAGCAAACATAGCTCGTCCAGCTTGTTGTGGAGGGAGTGGACACTGGAGAGCAGGAGCGATGGTCCTGCTGGTCTGGAGGGGTTAGCCTTTAGCAAGGATCCTGGCTCTCTTCCTCCTCCTTTGTTTACGTTCGTACTGTTTGTGCTTCCTTCTCTCTCGGGTAACTGCCAGCGTAGTCTCCGATCGGACTCCATGTTGGTGTAGTTTGTCCAAATCACAACTGATCGCTGCAATTCCAGCACCGCTCACTGTCCGGACGCCCAGCAAAGTCTCCCGGCTGCAAGTTTTGCGGAATGAACGTCTGGGATAGACAAGACACTCAAAACGTTCACTTTCGTTGACTCCTGAAGTGGCCGCTGCGTCTGTGTGCGCCACCATCACCGTGGCAATTAAGAGCAACTTCCTAGATTCTGGTGCTCTTCAATTGTCTGCAGGAAAAAATTCCAATAGTCACGCACAACTGTCAGAACTCATTCCTGTCTCCCCTCCTCATCTGAAACATTGAGTTCATTCAAATCATAGCCCACGGTAAATACTCTTAATTCCTTAATTTTTAAGTTAGACACAGTGCAGTATGCTTCATTTAAAATGCTCTCAGTTAAATGCATAAGTTCAGCATTTCTTGAACTATATGTTATTCAGCTACGATTATTTTAACCATTTTTTTCCACTACATCTCCGTACGCTGAAAAACAGCTGTGAGACTATACAGCAAAGTCCCACTGGGAGCATTATGAGCTGTTACAGTATTTAAAGCAGTATTTCCACAAAACAGTCTCTTCTTTGCTGTTTAAATTTCATCATGCTATTTACATGACTTAATTCCCACTTACAGACTTGTGTTTATTCATTTAATGCATTTTTTTATCGCCATCTGTCCTTTTTTCAGTACTCATAATCCAACACCCTTTTCAAACTAGATGAACGTGACATTTCATAATTCAATTATCTACACTGTAAAAGAAAAAAAAAAAAAGCTCCAGAGAGAAGAAAAAGGGAGACGTGTGAATGTAGAGCAAGCAAATCCAGCAGAAAATAACTGGCTTTATCGTATGTTGTTCCTTATGAGCCGGCCACACCACAGGGTTGACAGCCCACTTGAGCTGAGAAGTGCCCTTGATAATAAGTGACTATACGTTACGAGTCCCACTTAATAAGAATGCCAGTTAAACATCTACTAGGAAATGTTCAACTGGAACTCTAATACGGGCAGTTCTGGTCTTTGTTAGGTTTAGATAACTTTAAAAATGGGTTGAAATAAAGATATCGTCCCAAAAAATACATTATGTAATAGAAATACGAGGAGAAAATCCAGCAAATGTTCCAAATAATGGAGATAAAACGAACTTCAAGACTCTTGTTTTTGGTTTTGCACACAGCTTGGACATACTGACATGCATAAACATCATATAAATCTGAACTATTTGCGATGTTATGCAGCTAATAATCACTGATCTTCAAGGATGTGGAGAAAATGGTTTCACCCACATACATTTACTGTTAACTTTATCATGTCAGAAAATGTTATTGAACACTTGGAGCAATGCACACAAGTATGTATTTGTCTGTGTGTTTCCAGTTTTGTCACAAATTTAGGAAATAGTCGCTTTTTTTTTATTCTGAATATAGTCAAGTTAAAGCTCTCCAGACTGTCACACTTGCTGTATGAGACTATTTATTTGTAAAGATTAGGATCCAGCCATCTCCAATGTTGTATTTTTCTATGTACTAAAAACAACTCTTCTTTATTTAAGGACATCTTATCAGGCGTCTCCGTTTCTCTCCCTAAACCTGTAATGAATATCCAAGATAGTCCCGATATAGTATCTTCAGAAAGAATTTATTGCATCAAAACACTGCAGGTTTGAACAGAGAGAAGGTTTTAAGCTTTCCATTAGCTCGGTGCTAAGCTCCTGAAATCCAGATAGGAGGTAATTGTGTTCAACATTTTAGCATCAATATATCATTACCGCAGTAATTTTGAGGCATAAGAATAATTGCTGTGAACCGATGACGCCATTCATCACGAGCAGGTCTCGGCTCACCAGTTAGCTTATCACCTCACAAAATATATTTGTTGCCATCAGTGGTTGTTGTCTGCTATTCTGCTTTTGCTTGTTTGCCTAAAATACAAGCATGTTGAACATTTCAGAGAGGGAAAAGGTAAAGAAAGCAACACCTTGAGAGCAGTTTGGCTCAATGAGTTGGTTGGCATTGTTATTTAAAATTCCATAACGTCCACCAACTTTTCCTTTCCTTTACTACAAATCTGAGTTTTCTTTTGTCCTATCTCATCATCAGCTGGATGGACTGACACAGTATGTTGTACAGACATTCATGGTTTCCATGGGTTTAACCTTTTTTGTTGACTCTTGACATTTATTATATACTGCTGGATGGTTGCCGTAACATTTGTTACACTCACGGATCTTCCTCTTAGCTTTTCAATTTCATCACAGGCCATCACCAAGTCAAAGTTTAGCCCTTCAAGCTGAACACACTTTGCATCCAAATTTACATCTCCTAATCCCGGTTGAATGGCACTTGAAGTAGTTATCGCTGCTATGACGCATATCAGAACGGCATGACTTCACCTTTTCCCCAATTTCTTGTCCGTGCGTCAGAGGATCAGCGATATAAATATAGTTGCGTGTAGGTAGAACCAGCATACAGCCGTGCCTCCATCTCCTCAAACACCACTTTTGTTTGCAATAATCGTGAACTTGTCATTGCGTAGTTTAGTTAATATCTATCATTTCTAGATATTAGCTGTGCGATGCAAACATCTGCTTGGTTTGCTACTTCTGCAAGTGGGCAATTATATGTGAACACTTAAGTGAATATTTATTTACATTAGGTGTTAAGCAAGTATTTTTTAATACTAATTTTAAAGTCATAGGGTATGTAGGTAATGTTTCTGATGTTGCCAGATTTCACACACGATTCCTCTGCACGATTATGAAAAGATATATCTGCCAGCATTTTATAAGATAAATATTTCATAATGCATTTTTTTTTCCCTTTCTATAAAGAATTTGCAAGTATTAGCTTTTCAAATGATGGAAGATCTGCACTGTCATTGTTAGTGACCCCTTATAACGGCAGAGATAAAAGTTTAATCGTAAAAATTGTGAAATTGCCTTGAAAACAGTCTAATGCTTATAGGGTTAATGTTTCCAATAATTGGTTTACGACTACATTTATACGACCCTTAGTTGTGCTTGCTTCATAAAATTTAGCTGAATTACAAGCATTGTTCCTAAAAATCAACATATTATATGATATAAATACGTTTATACTGTAAACATGTCCGCATTCTGGTGTTTAGTGCAAAGACCCAACAGCATGACTGCAAATGTATACAAGTTTGATTCTGACTTCAACCACATGAATTTTTTCAGTTGCAACCTGAAGCATGCAGCAGTCGTGTGACTTGCATTTTAAATGCTTAAAGTCGGAATTTCTCTCTTTTCTGTGATACAACGTTAATGTCAAGTCATTCTCCTGCAACAAATGTGGCAGCAAACGGACCTGCTCAGGCTCCTTTGCTGCCAATGAAGACAACTGGGCAGGATTCAAAAGGTACACAGGTACAGCGTCCACAGACTGGTTCCTCTTCCACAACATATGGCTGCAACTTCTTTTGTGACATTGCTGACAGTTCAAATTCATATCAGGTCTGTGACGTCAGAGATGCTCGCCGTGTGTAAAAACTGAGAGTGACGAAAACAGCGATTTAAAAAAAACCCAAAAAAACGTCCGACTTGAGCTTTCTCACCGCAAACACGCAGCCGCTGCGTCACGCTAGGATTAATGGTTTTTCATGTGGAGGGGCGCATGCTACACTAAGCAGCTGAAGAGATAAAGCCCCCGCAGTGACTCATCACCAGTGGAGAAACAAAATAGCAAAGAGATGGACCCAAAAAGGAGCAGCAGAAGAATGAGGGGAGCTGTTCGTTCATGGGTCTCTCATGAATATTCTAATTGACAGCGTTATCTCTGTGATGATTATTAAGTGTGGCCCACCAGGCTCCACTCCGGGCTAATGTAGTGGAAAGAGAGGGGCTGTGAGAGCGTTAATAGGGGGGGGCTCTTTGTGCTTCTGCAGTCTCACATGCTGATATATCTCATGTGTGTGTTTAAACATATGCTGGATTATTATGAGGAAGTCTAGTTTCTTTGTGTACACCCATGTAAAACTATGGGTTTGTTGTCAGTAATGTGGGGCGATGTTAGCGTCTAGCAGCGTTGTGGTTTGATGCCAGGATGTGACTGTCCCCCCTGTGTGTCAGCCTTGTGCGTATATCCCCCTCCTGCACATGATTATAATCCCTTTTGATGTTTGCCACAGAGCCGTTTTCCTCTGCACCGCTCATCCTGGCATTTCTCTCCACCCCAAGCACCAACAGATACGTTAGTGTATCACAGCACTGTACCGACAGTAATTAAATGGCTGCGCAGGACAGGCTTCTACAACGTATAGCTGCCGACACGGTTGGAAACGCATTTATGTTTTTGCTTTGTTTCTGGATAAGGACGGTACACATGTCTGCACAAGTTTCTGATTTTCACCATCTGGGTATTTTCTCAAATTACCCCTTCATTTCCTCTAAGCAATCACGCTGCACCGCTAAAACACATTCTGCAGGAAATCAGCTGATTTGAATTTCGCAGAATCTGTGTGTTTCTCCTAATAACGTGAAGTACAAGGCAAAGACACTGTTCTGCGGCAGTGTGTCACGCATCAGTACATCACCTTCTGTTTGTTGGTAGATGCTTTTGTCTCCAGGCTTTGCTTTTGTCCCGGTCGCTGCTCTTGATCTGGCCGGCTGCTTCAGCTTAGCCAGCCCAGGGACACATCACAGTGTGGCGTAACACTGATTTGTCTGGACTGGACCGAAGTCACGATTGTGGGTCAGCATGTTCCTTGTCAGGCTTTTTACCGCACATTAACACACACATTAGGACACAAGTGCCCCCTTTTCCCTTCTCTGCAGTCCCACTTTATCTGCCTCTGACGTGGCTGTCGTATCATGACTTGGTCCTCTCTGGCGTGAGCTAATAAATCACTCAGATGCATAATATCTTGTTCTGGGAGAAGGTGAAATGTCTCCAGCTGCCAACGCCTGTTTACAGTTGAGTTGTATTCAAATGTTGTTCTTGAAATGCCCAACAAAATCACTTGCAGACAGAAAAATTTGTAATTCAAAACGATCTACCATTTGGAGGAAGAAGACACTGCAGATGGATGTTTTTGAGTACACGTGAGAGTGTGCATGTATGTTTTGTTTTTTCCACCTTGTCACTATAGCGACAGCTCTATCAGAAAACTCCAAAGCAGCCTCCTATCATTTGAGCAGCATCCTGCTGTTTACTGCCCCACTGTTTGCAGATCATCACCTTTACCAGCCGATCCGATCTTTGTGGAAAATAAAAACATGTCGAGGAAGTTGCCGAGAGTGTGTCAGCTGTCTCCACTGAGGCTAAAATGGCTGAAATGTGTGTTCTCTCCCCTGCAGGTGTTTCAGCCCAGCTGACAAATACCCGTCTGAGGAGGAACACCTCTGTGGGAACTCCCTTCTGGATGGCTCCGGAGGTACAGTAAAAACTGGCCTATAAATGCTCTCTCGCAGCCTCATCTCTTTCCACTACATTAGCCTGGAGCAGATCCCAGTGGGCCACAGTTAATAATCATCAAAGAGATAACACTGTCAGATACAATGTGCATGGAAAAAAATGGACTGGGCAGCTTCCATCGTTTGTCTCCTATTTAATCTTGCCTCAGTGCACTAACAGTACATACAGCCGGAGTGGCTACATTAAAAAGTGATCATTTTATACCACTACGTAGTCACATCAGCCTGTCCTTTATTTTTTTGTACAAGGTTAATGCTACTTTGTCGCATGAGGTGGCCTCTCAGCTCGAGGCTCCCTGAGTTTTTTGCAACACTGATAGAGAGGTTGTTTCTGTGTGGTGGTGTATTCTCGCTGTAGTTATGCAACAGGAAAGCAGTTTCTGTGTGTTGTGTTATGTCTCGACTATTCAAATAGTCAAACACAGACTCATTTCCCTAAACATTACAAAAGTGGAAGATGTACTCAGATGCTCAGTAAAAATCCTGTATGAACACACCTACTAAGGTATAAGTAAGCATTGAAGTAAAAGCACTGGTGACTGATGTATTTTTATGCATGACATCATTAGATTATAAATAGTGACGCCTCAGTGTGTCAGCAGCGTGTTACTGTTGGAGCTACTGTGGACTATGCACAGTTAGTTTCATATGCAGGGACAGCAGATAGATCTGAGGGTCGTGACATAATTAATAGGAGAGGAATAAAGAAAGTTCTGATTTCGGTTTTATGGCCTTTGTTGGATCATTTTAACGTTTATTAAAATGAAACCATATGATAGGTTCAGTTGGAGCATTGGTTGGAAACTGTTGGTTTATTCTTTAACAATGTATTGTATCATAAAAGCTTGTTTTGTTGTAAATCTTAGTCTTAATAATATCAATCTGTCAGGTAATTCTAGTGAACAATATACAATATTTCCCCCTGCAGTGCCGTGGAGTGGACGCATACAGTAGCATCAAATGGAAATACTCAGGTAGAGTGCAGGTTCCTCAAAACTGTACAAAACAGTACATGTCTGAAGCACAGATTTACAACTAATGCCAATATTTGTAGCCAGTGCAGGAAGCAGTGCACCCTCAGTAAGCTTCACAGTAAGAGATTTGAGTTCTTGGTGGTGACTCGATGTGTATTTACACATCCAAGTCTGTTCACAGGTGTTGGGAAGTGCTACTGCATGTATTTGTGCCTCCAGAGGGAGCTGTGTGAAGTCTGATAAACTCCAAGTGCAGTCACTGGCATGGACTAAAAACAGACAGTATCTCTGGTTCCTTTTAGTGGTTTCATGCAGGATTTTTCACCTTTTTGTCCTGCTCATGTTCAAAAAGAGCATTTCTTGTAACTACAGTGAATGTGTGTAGCTGCTAAAACTAGCCTGTTTGCTTCACACTAACCTTCTTTTTTTATATTTATTATCTTAACCCACAAGAATTGGTTTGTTTTATATGGTAGTAGCACAAAGTTAAGTAGATGCTGAAATGAAAAACGGGATAAGAGAACCTGAGCGCGCTGGCAGATAGAGCAGGCCGTCTAGAGTTGGGAACACGGCTTAACTTAAGCTGACGTCTTGACTGTGCAGTGAAATGATTCGGTGTGAAGACGGCTCAGCAACACCTTCTGTAGGAACGGCCTTCATCAACATGCTGAGAGACGACGCAAATCTTAGAACAATCAGCATGATTGACTGCACGTTTGGGTGATCAAGCGGGCGCCTTTTCATTTATATTTCATTGACATGAACCTGCAGCACCTCTGGTAAAACCTCAACGAGAAGAGGCGTCCTGCTTGCACATTTAACCTCAACACTGATCAGGTTTAGATTAAATGAGCCCTCTGTAGGGGCAAGAAAGGTAAACCTATACTGTAATGCACCACAGCTACACTTTGGAACCACTGCTCCTGACCTAGTTTTAAATTCCCTCTCATTGGGAATGATCTGCCCTGATAGTCTTGAAGATTCACTTTTCAAATCGAATTGGAGATTTTTACATGAGGTTTGCATGCTGTGCAAATTTAACATTAAACGTGCTGCGTGACCTGCTCTGTCAGGATCAGGGATTTTAATCTAATTTGTATAAGATGTTCATCTGCAAAGTTTCCTAGGTGGACTCTCAAGATGTGGAAGTCTTCTTTGGCAGAAAGGTTTATAGGTGTCAGGAGGGAGATTTGTAAACCGCAATCCGCACTGTTTTTATTATTATTACAAGAAAAAACAAAGATTTTGTTGAATTTTTTTGAGAGCTTCATCATAAATTCTGCTTTGGGGATTTTTTTTTATGTGGGGTAAGTTACATCATAACTGATTAATGAGTTTTATTGTTGACAAAAGCTGTGTTTGGCTACGCGTTTGGCTACGTGTTGACTGATGAATTAGGCTGTGTTACGTTTATTTAAGTATGTCTCTTCCTGGAAAAAGGGTTTAGTAAATTTCTACTTTTTTTTTTTTTTTTTTGGTGAAACAGTCATCTTCAGAACAGATTTAAATTAGACTTTTTCTTGTTTTTTTACACATGTTGGGCAGAAACAGGACTGAATAGTGAAGATCTTTGGGTTTTGCAGAGTGCAAATATCCGTACACTTGTGTTCCACAGTGTCCTGTTGGTGATTTTCTTGCCTGTGTGTGTACGTTTCTGCCCTTTTGAAAACTGGGATTACAACTTGTATTGATTTCGGTCATTTTTACAATAATGGTGAACATGTTTTTTGTGGGTGTGTGTCATGTGTACACCAGCCTCCCACTCAGATGATTCATATTGTTGATTGGGTACCATGTTGCCCTCAGGACAATGATGACAAACTGTTTGCGTGTGTGTGTTTGTGCTCCTGCGTACTATATATATATAAAAACACATTGTAAAGCGCTTTGTAGGACCTAGCTGAGGTTAAAAGGTGCTTTTTAAGTGCGGACCTTTTGCCATTTTGCTTACAGCATATGATAGTGACACTGTGATTTTGATTGAGCTGTTGTTGATGCTGCCTAACTTTATGATGACATTATTCTCTGTTGCATGTTTAAGTTTATAGTTTGTGTGGAAAAGGAGGGTACAATTTAAAGAAAAATCATCTTAAGTGACCTTCTAATGAGAAAGGAGCCCAGTTTTTATAACGGAATGCCTGATTCTATGTAGATAATCAGACAATATCGTCTCTAACCTCCCCGTTATTTGCAGGTAATAGCATGTGAGCAGCAGCTGGACTCGACCTACGATGCCCGTTGCGACGTCTGGTCCCTGGGCATCACCGCCATAGAGCTGGGAGATGGAGACCCTCCCCTGTCTGACCTCCACCCAATGAGAGCCCTGTTTAAGATACCCAGGTGAGCCTGCCGTCATTATCAGCTGGCTGTGACTCTGACCCCACAACTGTTAGTGATCTTTAATTTATGTTTATTTATGCGGTCTTGAATGAATACTTTAAGCCTTGGCGCTGATCGGGTTCTCACTGTGAGGTGACGGCGCTAACCAGTTAGCCGCTGTGCTGCTCTCAGTACACTTATTTGAACCTGAAGTCTGGATTTGCTTACATTCTGGCTTCAAGTTTTATAGAAAATAAACTTGTCTGTGTACTTTGTAGATATTTGATTCACAACTACAGTGCATAATTTAGAGTTTTGTTTTATTAAACTTGGCCATTTAGAGACATCCATTTCCCAACTTCCTTATTTTGATGCAGATGTTTAATGATATTGTCAAAGTAAAGAAACAGTGGCTTTATCTTCTCTGCATGTTTTTTTTGTTTTTTTTTACTCAGAATCACTTAAATGTGGTGACTTCCTAATTACTGCTTGTGAGCTGACAAATCAAAGCTCCTTTTGAGAATGTGAATGCAGACACATGTTGCGCAGTAATCTCTATTTCTGAATATATAATTGATGCTTCCCTCAACTGACATCATATCTTAGAATTAGGGATGTTGCTGGTGACTCATTTCCCTGCCAACATTTTAATTTAGATGAGTCATGTTGTCTAAAAGTGAGAAAATGCTTAAACTTGTGTTGCCATGTGTGGCTAAAGTTAGCAGTATTAGCACCAGATTAGCACCTACGTGTAAGAGGTGGGTTTAGTTCTGCATTGTTCCAATTAAATGGTTATATGGAGGTTTATTCTAACACTTATTATTTTGTAGATCACATGACCAACTAGTATTTCTGATACCAACTAGCAAGTACAGCTTTGGTAAAACATTTTGTAGACTAATTGCGACCATCCCGAGTCATAATCCACCTCGAATTTACAAAAAGTTGAGCCAAAAGCAGCGGAAAAGTTTATTTTCTTGACCTTATGACAAGTGTGCTAGCTTCACCGGGTGACTCTATAATGCAATGAATTCACTAATTACGAGTTATATCAAATCAAATCAAGTTTATTGTCATGTTGCTGTACATACACAGTAGTACAGGCAAGATGAGAGCGTTTCTTCAAGATCATTCAACCAGCAAGTTTTGCAGAATGCACGTCTGGGATAAGACACTAAACGTTCGCTGTTGCTGTCTCCTGAAGGGGGCGCTGCGTCTATGTGCACCGCCATTCGCTGAACATGGTGAACCTCACACACGATGGTGTGATGATGGTGAAGCCGCAGATGCTACTCAGAGCTAGCTGTCTGTCTGTCCGCCCAGAATAATGTCGTCTCCTCCAGCTGTATGTCTGTCTGGGATGGTGTCATGGAACCATGTTTCTGTTAAAGCAAACACACAGCAGTCCCTCCACTCTCTTCTCCCAGCAAACGTAGCTCGTCCAGCTTGTTGTGAAGGGAGTGGACACTGGAGAGTAGGAGGACGGTCCTGCTGGTCTGGAGGGGTTAGCCTTTAGCCTAGCATGGATCCCGGCTCTCTTCCTCCTCCTCTGTTTACATTTGTACTGTTTGCGCTTCCTTGTCTCTCAGGTAACTGCCGGCGTCGTCTCCAATCGGACTCTGTGCTGGTGTAGCATGTCCACATCACAACCGATCGCTGCAATTCCAACGAATTCTGATATAGAATTATGATACAGTATCTGCTATTGTCAATCAATGATCAAGCTCATGGAGTTGTTCAAAAATATCAGTGTTTCCCAGTTTCTCTAGCTTTTACTTACTTCACTCTGCACTCACATTTAAAAGCTGGAAACATGCATGTTAAAAGCCAGTTTTTAACGATACAGCTCACATAATATAAAGGTAAAACAAGATGATATTTTATTCTCTGCACTGATGCAGACCATCGCACAGGAGTGGGCCTGTTTTCATTATGTGACTCTCCTGCTTGCAGAGTGGAATGTAAAGACAGGGTAATGCATAGTGCTTGCACTGCAATCCAGAAAAGCCATCTCCTACTCCCCAACGCAGTGATTTGCTTCTCTATACCGACTGTCACCAGACAAAGTACAGTCTTTTCATTTCAAATGGCTTTTTTCTGCTTGCAGGGGCTTATCCATAAACCACTCCCCCTCCTGGCACTGATCCCATTCGTCCTGTGGGGGAGGCTGAGAGCACAGCCACCCTTTTCCCATCTATTTGTGTTGTTGGCTGAAGGTGAAAACTAATTGTTTATCGTCTCCTGATTCCAGTGTGAGAGCTGCATAAGCACTTACAGTCTCTGTCATCGTGGCGGCGACGGCACTTTGTCGGTCACTGTCCAGACACGCACACAAACATACGTGCACACGCAGACTGCTGCTGTGTCGTCCTGTGTGTGTTTGCTCTGAGGGGGTCGAGGCATCACGTAGCTTTCTCAGAATCTATGTGACTGTTGCACTCGGAGCTTCAGGCTCTCTCTTCACACTCCTCACCTCCCTCCTCTCACTGCTCCGGGTTCATCCGTCAAGCAGTCGTCGTGGAAAAAGCCACGCTGAGGGCTTCATTGCAGCCACTCCCTGTCTTATTTAATTTGAATTTGCTAAAGAAACAGAAGAGTATCAAGACAAACCCTCATTTTCATTTGGTCACTATAGTGCTTGACCATATTTTTATCCATTTGGGATGTCAATCGCCTACAGTTTAAGGTAAACATGGCTGTATGTCACATGCATAATCCAAGCCAACATCATCTGTAAATTTACCAACAATAACATTAAAACTACACACCTTATATTATGTAGGTTTACGTTGTGCAGTCAAAACACCTCTGAACCTTCCAGAGCAATCCCAGGAATTCACTTTCTGTAAAGAAATAACAACAGTCAGTTGTTTTTAATGCTGAAACTGAACAATGTATATCAGTTTGCAGGGATTTTAATGATATTTTGAAACTGTATGTGTAATATGCACCCCACTGTCTCCCTTTCAACACGTAAACGTGAACCCAAAAAGAGAAAGACATGCCAAGACAAAAAATACATGAAAAATCTGAATTTACATATATAATTACAAGTCGGATATTCTCTGAGTTTGGCTGCCTTTCCATATATAGATACACAGATGTCAAATCCCTGCTCAAATCATCCGACTCTGGAGCAGGTAAAAGATTAAAAGTGATCTTCTAATTATGCTCAAATGTTAAGAGTTAAGCTTTCATCCTTTCATTATGTAGAACAGAGAAAATTCTAATTTGCCTCGAGTACTGTAAGAAGCAGGTTTATAGCAGTGAGCGAAGGACTTCAGCAATAAAACGAATAAACAGGAAATAGTATGATTGAAATGCATCCTCGTACTTGTTGCCTGTATAAGGGAATTAAAAAGTCAAAGTAGCTACATAATTCAAGTGTGACTCCTCCTCCTCTCGAGTCATCTCCACGAGACCATGTTTGTCTTCCAGATAAGAAGAACACTTTAATAGTCACAGTATTAGTTGAACAGACTCCAAATAAACGTCTGATGCATTCGCTGTCTATATTGCTTGTGTTGTGTGATAAACAGGAGATGTATGTCCTCTCATTAGACCAATTTATCGCTGTCGGAGCCAACGTGCGAAAGGCCGCGATTGCATTAGCAGGCAGCATTGACTTTTCTACCATGTACCAGGAACCTTCTTGTAAAAAAAGGTGCTTAAAGCAGGAAGAGGAATTATAGCGAATTAGCTCAGTTGCTCCGCTGCTGCGAGGCCTTGTTGGGTTTAACCCCTTAACCATATGATCTGGTTAAACATACAGTATCATGATTGTTGTTTTTCTGTCACACAATTAGCTGCATCAACACCACACAGGTGGAGCGTCATTAGTTATTGCCTCATGCCAGCACAGAAACGCCTCTGGATGTCGTCGGTGACGGATTGTTCCAGTGTTAAGATTTCACTCCATCGTTCCGCTGAGCGCCTCGGCCTTTTGTTCTCCACCCCGCCTGCGTAAATCCCATCTCATCTTATCTTTCCATTTATCTTTTCCATTTCTTCTTTCAACAGAAACCCTCCGCCTACTCTCCACCAGCCGGAGCTCTGGTCAGATGACTTTAATGACTTCATCTGCAAGTGAGTGCGGCCGCGAGTGTGTTTTGTCATCCCCACTGCAAATAATAAACACTCAGGCTGATAGTCTGTAACCAGATGCTTTGAATAGAAACTCATCGCGCTCCTCTTTTCCTCCCCTTCCTTTCTCTACCTCCTACCTTCTTTCCTATCCACAGATGTCTGATTAAGGACTTTGAGCTGAGACCAAATGTGCTAGACCTGCTCCAGCATGTGTTCATCAAACAGATTGTTGGCAGAGAGAAAATCCTGCAGAAACAATTGATTGAACTCATTGATCTCAACCAGCAAATAGGAGTGATTGAAAAAACAAGGTATTGTCCAATATCTCACATCTCCACCCATATTGTGCTGCTATTTATGTAGCGGTACGAGCTAAACACTCATTCTGCATAAAGTGTTTCATATATTTCTGTCACAAAACCCCATGAAAAACTTCCTTCCAGTGGTTATATATGCCAGGCTGCAGCTTAGCTTCTGCAGACAGTAATCCAAATTACCCTCCTTGCTGGATGTTTTACAAGCCCTGTCACCCTCGCAGAAACAACAGCTCAATCCTGCACCGGCTTCGCTTGAGGTGCAGGCTGTGTCACATGAGTCAAAATTGTTGGCCCAGAAAAGTGTGTGTTTGCCCGTGCAATCATAAAATGTTAATCCTATTTCTGTCATTTAAGCTATCATGGAAAGACAGACAGAAGCACAGACAGTAATGACAGGTAACGAATGCCTATATGACCTTTATGTCACAGTAGGAGCTTTTTTTTTTCTTTTTTTTTTTAGTGCAGTCAGAGCTGTTGTTGTAGTTGTGATCGCACATGTATTTGCCATTATCAACTACACTGGCTGATTTTAGATTGTTTACATGGTGCCACCCTGCCGTTGCTACGCTGTCGTTGTCTTGTTGTCACCACTGTGTTCTGAGCCTCTTGTTGATGTTGTGTCTCTTCATTTGATGCATCTCTAGTTAGGATGTTTGCTGTAAACCAACTACAGCAGCTCCAAAACTCACTGGCGTTCATCATTAACAATCTCATGAATGGTGTTTTCACAGAGATAAATTGCAATCACGATGGGAAATTACCGCCGCCATTAACTAATCAGATGCGATCAAACTTCTTCTGTCGCATTATGTGAGGAAACAAATGACAGTAATAAGGCGTCGCTAAAGTAAAGCACAAATCTTGTACAGTGAATTAGATGCAGCACTAAATTTGCTGCGAGTAGCTTTGAGGTTTATTTTAGCAAGTATTTGACATGAGTTGCGGCAGGAAAAGACAGATATTAACCAGTTAAAGCTCAGAGGTCATGTTGGATAGAGTAAATATATTTAACAACTTCCTCACGGTGCAGATTTTTCAAATCTAAGCATCCATAACTTCACTGTTCAGTTGTAAAAATGCGACTGAAGCGATTTAGCAGCGTTGATGTTTTTGCTTCCTGTGGTCATCTCTCTCACACAGGGACAAAGTTAACGGATGGGTCTTTTTATTCAACGTGAATGTTACTTATTGTTATATTTACATTTAGATGTCCATCTAGTTGAAGTTTTAGTATATTTACCCTGTGCACCACTTTGCCTCAGCAAACAAACACCATTGGCAGCGCTGTGCATTTCTGTAGCAGTGCGCTTAATGTACTGAATTTGAATTTATATTGTTGTGTGCAGTGTGTCCGTTACGTAAGGTGCTCAGTAAGACACTTGGTTGTGCGTCCTGTGAATTCCAGGCATGAACGTATCCACACTAAAAAAGGAAGCCACATGAAGACTCAGAGTGACGCAGAAGAGGTGGACGACCTCGCCACTCTGGAAGTTCTAGACGAGGTAATGAAGTCCAAACTCAAGTGGGTGTATCGTGTAATTTGTAGTCCATGTGAAGCATGTTTTGAGTTTGTCACATCACAGAAAACTGTTTTTCACAACTCAGACAAACTTACATAATTAATAAAGTATGCCAAGTATGTTAAATTAGGTTTCAAAATTGTGAAAAAATAAAAGCAATTATCAGGGTGTGTCCACCAAAAATGCAGATTTGCTACTTTCATACCAGCACAAATGAAATATACTAACTGTGCAAACAGACCTACGTTTGTTTAACCAAATGACAACAGGTTAGATATAGAAATCACAAACTGTAGATACAGAACATTTTCATCACCTTGCGGCTGTGGGCTAAGTTAAGTTATTTATGGTGATCCTGAGCTTTCTATCAGCATGGCTCCTCACAAAATTAATCCACCTTTTCTTCAGTTGTAAGGCTGTTCTGCAAATTTCAGCATTCAGGGAGGATGCATTTACATCGCTAGCTAGCAAATTGTAGATTGTAAAAAAAAAATTTAGTAACTCCTGATTGCTTTGTTTTTTATAATGTTACAGTGGCTCTAGTTTGTTGTTTATTTCTGCTGTGTGCAAAAAAATTCTAAAGACGAAATCGATGAAAACTCAGTCCTACATGGTTCACAGTCTTGTTTTCAACTGTTATTTTCTAACAGGTATAATGAGTTTATAAACCAATTGAGTAAATTTCCTCAGTATGTACTTGAATAAAATGTTATTTTGCGATTGAAAGTTCATTCTTGAGGACATTCCCATGAGCTGCACGGTCTATTGCTTTAGGAAGATCACAAGGTACAGTCAAAAGCCTCAGATCGGCGACTAAATGGACCATACAGTGAGGCTGTTAAACACCCGCAGTAGTTATTTGTGCATAAATGGGCTGTAGCTAGTACATTTACGAATGAAAAAGATTGTGGTATTCTGTTAAAGGTTGTTATTGGATTGGCAAAACACAATTTCATGTCGAACTATGGAACCGTTTTGGATCACAATCACACAAAACTAAATGAAAAATGTTTATCATATATATTGTGATGATGGTTACATACAGTACATAAACACAATCAGGGGCCTTTTTCCCCACTGCTAACCAGAACATTTAGTATAATTTCTTCCAATCACAGCAGCATCTTTTGAAAACATTTACAGCAATTTATCACATCTGAGCGCCGCATTGACGTATTGAATGATACAACCAGCCTCCGTTGCTGGCGGATATTTCCTCCCATCCCTCAAACCGAGAGGCTCCTCTGGTATGAGGGAGGCATTGCCGCCCTGCTGTTTTTGATGTACCTGTCCCTGGCAGGGAGCAGACAGGAGAATTAATCATCGGGTTGTGAAAATAATACATTGACATAACAGACGTCACAGACTTTGACTTGAGGCAAAGCTAAAGCGCCGCTTGGTTGTGTTTATGACTTTTCTGCAGTTATCTTTCACAATGCATTTCTGACAATCATCCAAATATCCATTTGTTTAGCAAGCGCCTTATACCGGTAGTTTGAAACATGCTTGTTTATTCTTTCTTTCCAGAACACGGTTACAGAGCAGCTTCAGAGCCGATATGGCAGAGATCAGATTTACACGTATGTGGGAGACATCCTCATCGCAGTTAATCCTTTCCATAAGATGGAGATTTACACTCCTCAGGTCGGTGGAGATGGGCCTTTATGTGTGTTTTTGCGTGTTCCCTTTACGCACGTGTGCACCTACATTTGGTCAATAATGCACTGAATGTAGCCTGGCGTGTCTCATTAGTGCCTCTGCAGTTCTTCAGTCTGCTGCATCCCATTTAGTCTCACACACACATTCACTTTTACTCGCCCTGCTTTTCTCCCTCTTCCATACCTCACTGACTGTATTTTCCTCTCAATTATCATGTTTTTGCCTCATGTTTGTCACTATTTCCCATTCCTCTCCTTACTGAGCAGAAATATATGTAGAAAAGCAGCAAATCCACTAGTTTTCCTCAACATAATACCTACTGTATGTGCATGTATTAAATAAGCATTTATGTTTCTTTATAGAATACTAAGATGTACATAGGAGCTAAGCGCACTGCCAACCCTCCACACATCTTCGCTGTGGCTGATATTGCCTACCAGTCTATGGTGTCATACAACACGGATCAGGTAATATGCTCCTCATCCTATCACAAGCAGCTGTTGGCTTCGTCTTGTCGTGTGCTGAATGCAGAAAGTTGTTTTAGTAGCTTGTTTTGATGCTGTTGCGCAGTGACTACAGAAATGTTGCACATGCAGAAGTGTTGCAAATAGCACAACGGAACGGTTTCAGGAGGCACAAAAGAATAATGATCGTTAATGCAATCATTTATGAATCATGACGTGCAGAAGACCAAAGAAATTCTTGGACTTTTTGGCTGAACTGCAGGCAGCAGATAGGGGACACGTATAGAAACTAATTAAAAATGTAAAAAGTAGTATCACCTGTGGGCACTTGGATAAATGATGCACATGCTGATTCCAGGTTTTGTCAACTTTTGTAGAATGAATAATCAAACAGGAGACGTACATGTTGGCTAATTTTCCAACCAGTAGCTCGCTTCATTAACTACATGAGTCAGAAATAGCAGCAACAAGCACATCCCAGCCATGTCCTTCCCTCTGGAAACACGTAGCCTGTGCTTTTTGCGGCACTGGCCAGTATCTGATTGTATTTTCTGTATTTGTAGTGTTGTATTGTAATGCTAATTTGGTGAAGCTGCTTGTGTTTTGTCTGTTTGCATGTGTTTTTATGAGGTGCAGCACAATGAGTTCACATACATCGTTACTTTAACTGACATTCTGTTCCAATGGAATAAGTTCGTTAGCAATGGTAGTAATGTTTTGGTTGTGTATGTGACATGCACTTGTAAATACTAAAACAGTGACTTCTTGCGTGCAGTGTGTTGTGATCAGCGGGGAAAGTGGAGCAGGGAAAACAGAGAGCGCTCATCTGTTGGTGCAGCAGCTGACGGTTCTCGGGAAGGTGAGTCATAAGGGTCAATCAGCGTGTACTTTCTGTTTATTATTCCCATTATCTTCTGCCAGTGTCTTCCTCAGACACAACAGCTGTAACAGGATAAAAATAAAGCTGTTGGAAATCCAAACACATGCTTTATTTGTGACTGACAAGAGATTAGAAATAACTATAAATCATTTGTTTGAAAGCAGAACTACAAAATGAGAGTTTGAAACGGCGCAGCAGCTGTGTAGACTGTAGATATGTAGACATCCTGTGATGAGATTGTTGTTGCTCCACCTGCTGTCAGTCATGATTTGCAACATAACCAAATAGAAAATTTCATTTCACTTCTTCTTTTTTGCATTTTGATCACTGGATAATGCCGGTGTCACTTGGCATAAATGTATGCGTCACTCCCTGACAAAAGCATCACAGTATTACTTCCACGATGCCGATCTCCTAATTACTAATCTGGAATGATGGTTTATTCAGGCCAATAATCGGACTCTCCAGGAGAAGATCCTGCTGGTCAACAGCCTGGTGGAGGCCTTCGGAAACGCCTGCACCGTCATCAACGACAACTCCAGCCGCTTTGGCAAATACCTGGAGATGAAGTTCACCTGCGGGGGGACGGTGGTCGGGGCGCAGATATCCGAGTATCTGCTGGAGAAATCCAGAGTCATCCACCAGGCGATGTAAATATCACCTCCTTCATCACGCCTTTGTCTTGTTTTTGACTGCCATGACCTTCATTTGACAGTGACATTCACAGAAATTTAAATCGTGTTCAGTTTGTGAAAAGAACACAACGGTCAAGGTTATTTTTTCTGCCTGGGATCAGTGCGTAATGGACTGTCTCTCTTTCTCTTTCACCTCTACTTTTCCATTTGAAACTGGTGGCATTTGCCTTCCACCTGCTCTTCAGTCAGTCCATCTTTTCTTCTTATCTGGTGTCTGGGGAGCGGGCCGGGTCAAGTGGAGGGGCTAGCTTATTTCCTGTTTGATCAAAGATTGCAGTCTTGCAGGCGTTCTTAGTGGAACTTCAAAGGCTGACTCAAGTATTCTATTAGAAAACAGACACACGGGTCAGAGGGTTTGGTTTGGCTGCACGTATTAGGTGTAGTTAGACTTTTCTGTAGCCTGTTATTGGATGCTGCCAGTCGGGGGGATTGCAAACAAGGTGAATCCACATCTTTTTTATGAATTACACAAGAAGTGTTGCTTATTTCCTTGCCTCATGAATGTCCTTCCTCACCTCAGGTGAATTATTTAGTCCAGCCAATATTCTACCATTAAAACAACTGGAGTTTATTAAGATTATTAGACACAAAAGTCACAAATATAGCTGCGGGCAGCCACAAATAATATTGCTAGTGTAACAGCTATAATGTGTTTTTACTTGAACCTCCTAATCAGTTGTTTTGAAAAGAAGTGAAACGCTTCCTTTACCAATCATCAGAAGTTAATGAATTCAAACCTGATTTATTAACCTAACTTATGCTAACATCCTGTCTTCTTCTGTCTATCTATAGAAAACAAATAACAATGGGTTTTCATACTTTCAATGTGATGTTTAAGTCAAATAGATATCCAAAATGGTTCTCGGATGGAATTTCATTATGATATTTAATCCCTCTGATTTGTGTGACTATAGTTACTGACTTGTATTGTGTTCGGTAAGCCTAATTAATGTAAAACTTATGAGCTTGAGCATCAATATAAGCAGCAACATGCCCTGTTTCATATTTATTTACACTGAAATTGAAGTTTGTTGAATTAGCTATTACCACATTGCTGTGCACAATTGGATATACTTGCAACTATCACTCACTGGTGCACACATACAGTGAGTTGCACTGTGTACTGCAAATTGAGCCTTGTTTTGTACCCTATATATTGACACTTGTGATTAGAAGACTCTGATGCACACTCCCATCCCTTATCCTGATTATGAGATGGTTTTCTTACACAAGATGATGCGACATATTAACAGGGTGGGAGCTAGAATGTTTCAGAACCTGCAGGTTTTTCAGAACTTCTTCAGTAATCAAAGCAATACAGTGAAAGTTATCAGTGCATCTATTAGTACACCACAAAAAGAAAGTGTTCGTTACAAATTCAGCAAACGAATATACAACAGAGCCCACGTTGCCACCAAAGGTATAACTAACTGTATTCATGGTAGAATTGTAATTTCTGTTTCTTGCAAAAGTTTACATTTATTCACACAAATGAGGACTTTTTTTGATAACGTTTTACAAAATGTTTGTCCAAGAAAAACTCAAATTGTTTTCACACTTTTGGATTTTGAATTCTAAATTGAATATGGACTGATCAAGTGATACAGATTTATGTCAGTTATGGTTTTTGTTTTGTTTGTTTGACTTGTCTGATAATAAGGGCTCCATAAAACTGATCTATGAGGGTAAAATCACTGTTATTCTTATTTTATCAGCCTTCTCAGAGGTATTCACTCTCTGTCTGCTCCTTTGCTCTTTTTATGCTTTGTTGTTTTAATACATATTGTCTTAAATTTGCAGGACCGGAGTGACATTTATTGTTTGAATAACACGGTCACACTACATATGTCACGTTTTTAAGGTTTGATTTTGCGAGCTACATTTGTGTGTGTTTCCACAGAGGGGAGAGAAACTTCCACATCTTTTACTACATTTACGCTGGTCTGGCTGACAGGAAGAAACTCGCCCACTACAAGCTCTCTGACAGCAAAACACCTAAGTAGGTTTGACATTCCTTTGCCCTTCTCCTAAACACTGTTATTTCCTTCTCACATTGTGAACTCTGCTCTTCCCGATACTCCGACCCTGACCTTTGTGCTTCATTTTTGTTTCTGCAGGTATCTGTGTAATGAGCACATTAAATTAGGACCTGACATCGTGAGCAACACCTTCTACAAGGAGCAGTTTGATGCAGTGGAGCAGTGTTTCAAAGTCATTGGATTCACCCTGGAGGTATAAACTACTGCATTAATTACAGGGCAAAAAGCTGAGAGAGGCCTGCCAGCACGCTTTAATAGCGTAACCTTAGCTTTCATACAGACGCGTTCTCACACCCCTACTATATTGTATCTATATTGTACTACAAAATACACGAGACTAATGTCAAAAGTCGTGCACGTGAGGTTCCTCAGGTCCTCCGTTTGGCTCGTGATGGAGCATGAAGCTACAGGCACATGTAGCCAGTCAGCTGTTGGCATTGTGAAGGATAATGAGGCTCAAAGAACTGATTGCTCTTGGGATCTACACGTCAATAGCACTTATCCTGTAATCACTTGGCAGTGCTGGAGGAGCAGCTTTCTATCCTACAGTACGTCTCGGACGTCTTGTCTTGCATGAAATCACAACGAGCGTATGGCGATGATCTATAAGACAGTTTTGTCCACTTTGACGCACAGTTTTCTGACAGTAACTGCCCACTGGGAGAGTTCTTCTTATGTGTCAGGCCTGCCAAACCAATCACACTGGTTCACTTAAACATATGCCACAGGTGAATTCAGGCTTTTTTTTCAGAACGTACAATATTTTATTGAATATTTTAACCTGTTGTTGCTGTCAGTGAATTAAAGGATTCATTAAAGTGTGCTCTTTCTTGGTGCATTTAGGGATAGATGCTACCACTGTAGCAATCCTGCACAAGATGTTAAGGACTTGAGATTGGCTAATTCTAAACCAGCTCTAAACCATCACTTTGTAACACAGGATTAACTTTGATGTACAAGTTACAGATTTGTACTGAGAAATACACCTAAATGAGCACAAATCTTGAAAATCTTTTAAAAATCCTATCCACAAAAGTTAATTACACATCTTGAGACATGTCAGATGTTATTTCTGTCCCCGTTCTCTGGTGTTTTCTGCAGACCATCTATTGTGTGTCTCATGGTTGCAGGAGCTGGGCAGCGTTTACAGCACTCTGGCTGCCATCCTCAACTCCGGCGATATCGAGTTCTCTCCAGTTGCCTCGGAGCACCAAACCGACAAGAGCAACATCTCCAACATTTCTGTCCTGGAGAACGGTGAGAACGGAGAGAGAGAGAAGCATTATATATGATGACTCTTCATTAACTCTGCAGAGCTCCTTGTGGAATAAAGATAAATGTACAGTTGGAAATGATTGTTCTGAGATAAATTATCCATCAGTGCGAACAAGCTGTTGCAGTATTACAGAAAATCATTACCAAACGTGCTTTAACAGTGGTTAGAATTTACAGTTCTTGGCCACTGTTTGCTAAATGTAAATTTTCTGACTGGTTATTTACAAGGCTGTCTAGATGAGGTTTATTCATTTGATATGATCGTTGTATGTTCCTACATGTATTCCACTTTAGAAATACTAACTTCTACCCCATCTCTCATCTCATGTCCCCTCAGTGGCATCTCTGCTGCGTATCCGCTCAGACGAGCTCCAGGAAGCCCTGACCTCCCACTGCGTCGTGGCCCGGGGCGAGACCATCGTCAGGCCCAACACGGTGGAAAAAGCGGTGGAGGTGAGGGACGCCATGGGCAAAGCTCTCTACGGCCGCCTCTTCAGCTGGATTGTCAACCGAATCAACACGCTGCTGCGGCCTGACAGCCACCTCGGGTGAGATCAGGGGCACAAAGTGTGATGGTGTGTGTTCGGTTGACGTGAATGAGGTCATCTCACTTTTGAAGAAAAAAAAGGTTTACACAACCAGGTTTGATTTCCAAGTCTTGAAAGCTGTAGAATTCGCTGAAAAGAACTCCAGATGAGGAAAGACGATGAATGTCTTTCCTTTTTCATTTTGATGAACATCAATACATTTATTAATGCGGTGGGCCATATGAAAGGGTCATGAGATGATGAAAAAAAAGATTTCACCAAACTGTAGTTAAGGTCCCCCCGGAAGAGCTGGAGGAGGTGTGTGCGGATCGGGAAGTCTGGGCGGCTCTGCTCAGGCTGCTGCCTCCGCGACCCGACCCCGGATAAGCGGGAGAAGATGGATGGATGGATGAAACTGTAGTTAACATTTAACACATTAAAACCAGTAAAACTTTTTAAATAAGCAATACCAAGCATCTGCAGCCATTTTAGCAGCTCTGTGAGGCTGCAAATAAGTACGACAGAGGTTTGGGTTGCATGTCTGTATACCAAAACACAGAAACAATGTTCAGCAGGTATAATGCTAACCATGTTTAACATCCTAGTTTAGCATGTTAGCATGCTAGCAATGACTAATTATCACTAAATTGTAAGAAAAAGTACAGCAGAGGAAGAAAGTAATCAGTTTTGCAGGTATAACCAAGTTAGGGTTTTGACGTCATGATGGAGCTCAAGTAAAAGTCATGACATCAGAGTTGTCATTTTACATTTATAGAGGTAGTTTATGTCAAATTCAATTGCAATCCATGCCATATTTCACTTAAAACCCTATCGCGACACTGAAGAAAACAAATCAAGGGATCACCAAAAGTCTTTAGGATTCATCCTCTTGGCAGGATGGATGTCTGTAGCAACTTTCATATACGTAGTCATGGGGGCACGAGAGGAAAATTTAGGGAATCAAACTATAGGAAACATGAATGTCTGTACATGATTTCATTGCAATCCATACAAAAGTTAAGAGATATTTCAGTCTGTGCCTAACTGATGGACTACTTGGGTTCCTCAATCCATGCTGCTAAATATACATTTAAAAGAACTACATTTTCTTTCATATCACCTCTAGAGAGGATGACAAGGGCCTGAACATCGGCATCCTGGACATCTTCGGTTTCGAGAACTTCAAGAAGAACTCCTTTGAGCAGCTCTGCATCAACATCGCCAACGAGCAGATCCAGTTTTACTTCAACCAGCACATATTTGCTTGGGAACAGGTGAAGTCCAGCACTCACTCCAAACCCATTACTGAAATCAAACAATGCTTTCTGAGGTGCTCCTCCTAGAAAGCTCTTTGTATGCAGTTTTCACCTTGGTACTACCTCATTTCCATCTAAATTGTGATAACATGTCATCGTTTGTCACTCTGCGCTTTAAGAGAGATGGCAAGGGTAAAATATGCTGCTGTCTTTATTTACGGCAGAATGGGGTTCGCGATTCTCCCTTTGTTCAGTCTTGTGGGAGTGTTTTGCCTTGAGGGGGTTCAGAGAATGGTTTGCTAATGTTAAATGATTTGGACTCACCCACTGAGAGGTGCCATAAATCATCCCCAACGAGGGTCAATTAGGAGTTGAAGACACTTAGCGTTAGACTTAAATTCACTCTTGGGTATTGTTGGAACCGGGCCCAGAAATACATTGTCCTATAGTGCCAACACATATATTTAGAGCTTACGGTGGAATGAACAGTGTCGTGGGATTAATAAGCTTGACCTAACCTGGCATGTCTACGGTAAAACTAAGCAGATTTAAAGTAACATTGCTGTATTTTCAGGTTTTGTCAGTAATCCGTTTGATTCCTCACCTATACTTTTCCATAAACGTTCCCACACGTGGTTACATATTGTCCCAAACCATCTGCATCCTTCCTGATTTCCTGACGTGCTTTATTTACTTCACAGTGGTAGTTCATGCTAGAATAAGCAGCTTGATTCAGTGTTGTTTGTTCCCGTTTTGTCCTTTTTCCCAGAGTGCAAGTCTCTGCTAATGTTGCTGAGTCATACTAGCAGCTCTGAGTCAGCCCGATCTGATCAGGTTAGCTCAATGCAAAGCTCGGCCTGCCCTCCAGACCTGATTCATCTGAATAAAAGGAGAGAAAAAAACAGAAGACAGCATGTTTTTGCTCTAATATTCTCCTGTCAATGGAAGGCTGGTTTTTGGCCAGTTTATGTTTGCACAGTTTAGGCTTTCTGAACACTCAAGCATGTCATTGAAGAAATAAAACTGCAGCTTAGGAAAGAAAATTGACTCGAAGGTAACAAAACAAGAAAAGTCCTCAATATTTATCATCAACATTAAACGACAAGACAGACAAACTCCTACAAAATACATGCAATTTTCACTTTTATTCCTCATGTTCACCTTATTTCTATCAATCCAACATGTCCTGTTATGCTTTAACACACTAAACAGTCATTCTATGTAGACGGTTTTATTTTAAAAAGTGATAATAGCATTAGTAGTGAGACATTTTTGTCCTCACCTGAGACCATTTTTATCTGACCCACAGAAGGAATGAAAATATTAGAAATTCAATTAAATTATATTTAGACCTACTGAGAAGAGGAACATTGAAAAGAATATTAACATGCAAGAAATCTCATTCTAAGTCTCTCTCGCTCCTGTACAGGACGAGTACCTGAATGAAGAGGTGGACGCTCGGATGATCGAGTACGAGGACAACCGGCCGCTCCTGGACCTGTTCCTGCAGAAGCCCATGGGGATGCTCTCACTTCTCGATGAAGAGAGTCGCTTTCCACAGGCCACCGACCAGACACTCGTAGGTCAGTCTGTCAGATTTCTGCAGGACAAAGTCTGTTATACGGAGGCGTTTAGCGCACACACAGCTGCACACATCACAGACATGTAGTTGTTCTTATTCGTGCACTCTCCAGTCCACTTGGAGGACGCGATCCATACATGCACAGTAGATCGGCATCAATGTGTTCTAGCACATGGGCAACTGGTGACATAGTCTTAGACTTCTACACAGATGAACTTTACATCTCTCAGACTCCAGCACACCCTCGTGTACTTGTAAATGTGGAAGTATAACCCTAGTCTTCATTTAATTAATTAACAAAAAGAAAATCTAAAACCATGACACCTTAACCCATATTTGCCCAATAAAGGCTACGCTAAGTTTTGTGATGCTTTCATAGTCTGAAATTCAAAAAAAAAAAACAACAAAAAGAGCCATAAACTAACTAAACACTTTCCACCAAACTCAGACAGAAAACACAAGTGTCAAAACCAACACTCCAAATAGTTTAATATCAAATAAGGTCATTTTCTGACAGTCTTCCATAGCCTTAGATGGTTTTGAGGATGATCAACTGATGTGTGATTTGATATTTTAGAGAAATTTGAGGATAATCTCAAGACAAAAAGCTTCTGGAGGCCAAAGAGGGTCGACCTCGGCTTCGGTATTCACCACTATGCTGGAAAGGTAATTGATATTTGATTTATGTTAATGTCTGTACAACAGTTTCATGTATTGGCCTCTTACAACTTTGTTTTTTCCCCTCTCCATCAAACGATAAGGTGATTTACAACGCTGCAGGCTTCTTGGCCAAGAACAGAGAAACGCTGCCGGCCGACATCGTCCTGCTCCTGAGGTCTTCAGAGAACGAACTCATTCGCAAACTCGTCACCCATCCTCTCACCAAAACAGGTAAAAGCGACCACCAGCTCCTTTTCAATCAAGTAAAAAATGAAGTTTTAGCCCGACAGGAGCAGGAAGAAAGTTTGCGTGCTTCAACCTCTTAATTAAATAGTTTTAAAGCAGCACTAAATACACACTTAACCTTAAACAACAGGCTATTGTTAGCCTGTTTAGCGTTCCTCTCTTGTCTGCCAGACTTTTGTTGTAATAAGCTGGCCTTGGCAGAGTGAGTGTTCTTTGTTGGGAGAGTAGGCTGCCAGCTATGTCAAAATTAAATCACAAAGCCAATAATCTCCTAATCTCTCTTTTAAAGTAGCCCTTCAAGCGCTTGTATTGAGCGTTGACGTTTTATGACAGTGTGAGGCTGTTTTCACAGACAGTAACTCAAATAAAAGGAATGAACTCTGCCAGTATCTGTTCTGATGAGCACAGTAAGATAGGAGTTTGCATTCAGACCTGCTTTGTGCCAAAATAACCCCAATTATTTATCCCACCGGATAAAAACACGCATTCAGCTTTGTTTCTTTTCGGTGATTTCTGGTTTTGTGACTAATTCTCTCCCCCGGTCGAGGGCAGTTTGTTAACTGACTCACTCAGATCCGCTATTTATTTCACAGGCAACCTTGCCCACACCAAGGGTAAAGGCATAAACACAATGCGGACTCCACGGACCCCGACACGCACCATCACCTTCGCCAAGGTACTTACAGCGCTGTCTGCATTATCACTGTATTAACTCCTACATGAAGAACTTCCTCTGAAAAGTTGTTCCATTTATTTTTATTTTTTTCTTTCTTGCTTTCACTCCTACAGCCAAGAACTACTCTTGAATTACAGTTCAGCCACTTGTGTCACTGCTTTTTTTAAACTGATTACAGCTGATTTTCTTTTTTACTCACGTTTTTTTTTTTCTCTTCATCTCTTCCTCTGTCTCTGCATTTCTGTCATAAAAGATGGGAGTGCTAACCTTGTACAGTTCTTTTTCTTTCAGCGAGGTAATGAACATGTTTCCGTATAGTTTGCTCTTAAGTATATCAACACAGATGCCTTTTCTTACTCTAGATGTCCTAAAAATGCACAAGTAAATCCAGATTTATTAGTCTGTAGAGCTAAATCCTGTACAGATGATGCATAGTTTTGTACAGCTATTCTCCCTACATAGTCATTGTACATGTCAGTGAGATATGCATGTGTGCTTTGCTTTGTAAAATGCATAAATTACATTCCCTGCTACCTTCCTATGCATCCCCTTCTCCTGCTAGAGCTTAGACTGTGTCGATACCTGTTGTTCACATCCAACACTGTAGCAGATTTATAGCACCATGCCTCATTTTACTAAGTAATCTGAGCAAAAATGGCTTAAATAGTAAATCAAAGTTGTTGGTTTTTTTTAAGAACTTCGAATTTTGCACTCCAAGCATTCAATAATCAGCGCGGCTCGCTCTCTTTTTTCAGTTGCCAACATCCAATAAAGCTCCCCCTGGCAACTTAATTACGTGACTTTCTTGTGTGCATTAGTTTAGATTGCGGCGGTACACGACTGCAGCGCCTGCTAAATGTAAGCCTCGAGGCAATTTGCTCACCTAAAAAGCAATTGACAGTAGCTACACCTAAATGTACTGTGTTTGATGAGTTCTTGAATTTATTTCCATTCATCTGCATATTTTAGAAAAAAAAAAAAGAAGCTCATCAAAGGCTTTGCTCTTAAGAAGCCACAATGAGCAATTTAAATGGTACAAACAGTGTTCGGCTGATGGTCTGCTATAAAGGTGGTTTCCCCCCATTGTGTTAGTGCTGAGAATTAGATGAATAGCTTGTGTAAAAGTAATGTGTGTTCAGTTTAATACAATTGTGTAAACGTCTAAGATATTCAGTCCATTTCGATGTTAGCAGTCTGTTGTCGTTGTTAAAAGCAAGTACTGTAAGTTTTTGCTAATTATAGCATTTTTTAAGCATATAGTCATCATGTGATTTTGAAATATCTCTGCAATGACACCTCCAGGAAAGTTGTGTTTAAGCAGACTGTGCTCTTGATTTGGCGCTTTTTGTGTATCCGTTTATCTCTTTTACAGCCTTTTTGGGAATTAAAGCCCACTCCTGAGAAAAAATGGTTGTCTGATGTGCCGCTCGGTGACACAGTACAAGTGCAAACGGTGATTTCTCACAAGATAAAATGCTCTGATTAAAAAAAAAAACAGTGCACACAAAGAATGCTCACTTTGTGATTTAAAAGAAAATTAAAAGAAATTCTTCACACCTATAGATTCCTCCCTATAATCAATGATGGCCCTTTTAATCCTGTAGACGAGTACTAAGACGCATTAGTAGCGTAGAGAGTAGTCTTACTACTTTTGTGCAGTGTGTGTTATTTGTTTTTTTGACATTGTGATGTTTTGTTTTTAGCCGGGTGAACCTGGAGACACGCCTTCACACCCGAGAGAAACCACCAATATGAGAACACAGACAGTGGCCTCTTATTTCAGAGTAAGATCTTATTATTTTAAACTTATCCCATCAGTGAAACATTAGTATACAGCTTTCTTTATTCGTATTAGCCTCATTGTTGCTTTAAATGCTCTTTCTAGTACTCTCTGATGGACCTGCTGTCCAAGATGGTGGCAGGGCAGCCTCACTTTGTGCGCTGCATCAAACCCAACAACGATCGACACGCTAACAAGTTCGACCGGGAGAAGGTTCTGGTTCAGCTGCGGTACACCGGCGTTCTGGAGACGGCCAAGATCAGACGGCAGGGTTACTCTCACCGCATCCTGTTTGCTAACTTCATAAAGAGGTCAGTCTAATCCAGAGAGGATGTTGGCTCATTTAATGGTGTTTATCGAATTGAAAATCAGTGACCCTTGTTACGAGTGTTCAGCTGATTACAATAATTGTTGCAGGTACTACATCTTGGCTTTTCACGCTCACGAGGAGCCGGCTGTGACTCCAGAAACATGTGCGGCCATACTGGAGAAGGCCAAGCTGGAGAACTGGGCGATGGGGAAGACTAAGGTGAACAGAGATATGTTTTATTTAAACTGAACTTAATGGGTATATTGTAACTGGAACAGCACAGGCTATTAACATTCATGCATTTCCTTTGCAGCTTATGTCATTGTGCATTATTTTTTTAACCACAGAAAGACAATGACACCCAGTCTTTCTAATTAAGAAGGAAAGACTGTATTGTGACATTGAGTGGCCAAATCAGAACGTAATGCTGTTAATTGTGAACAATGGTTTCCAAATAGCGCTAGCCTCATAATAAAGCCCACGAGAGCATGCCTTGATTATGTAGTCCAGTTATTTTCCCATATAATTGACATGAAGACATTCAAATCAATACTATGCTAATTCAGTACCGCTTCACAGCTAAGGTTCTAAGAATTTACTGTAGGTTGTTTGAAAAGACTCAGAAGGGGTAAACCTTTCAAGACACTTTCTAGCAAATCAGACAAAAATGATGTTATGTGCTAGACTGGAAAACAAGAATCACCTCAGAGAAGACTCTTGCTTTTTGGGTGCAAAGATCTTTTCCGTCGATTTATTAGTAAATGCATAGAAACGTGTCTTGTAGCAATTACAACTTTAAGGTGATTTCAATGCTGCTCATCTCAAAATGCAATCAAACTTAAACTCCTAAAGTTGGGGGAAGTCGAAGTACTTGTTAGTATCATAGTGTTTTAATGTTTCTTGTCTCCCAGGTGTTCCTCAAGTACTACCACGTTGAACATCTGAATCTGATGGTGCAGCAGGCCACACAGCGGGTTGTCCTGCTCCAGGCTTGTGTTCGAGGCTGGCTGGGAGCCAAGCGGTACCGGCGGATATTAAAGGAGAGAGAACAGAGCGCGCTGGTGCTGCAGTCAGGTTAGTAGACGCTGGTCGTGCACCAGAAGATGAACAAGTCATGGAACAGCCGTACCAATTCATGCTTTTATCTCCAGCTTACAGAGGTCATAAAGCTCGGAAGAGGGTAGCTGATGACAAAAGCAAAGCAAAGCTTGAGGCCTTTATCATCCAGTTTCAGGCTGGTAAGAACAGTCTGATGTTAAATCAGTTATCCCACAAAGCTTGGTGTGCATTGGTTTATCTTTCCCTTATCTTTTCCTTCCCCTGTCATCTTCTACAGTTTGCAGGGGCTATCTTGCAAAAAAGAAATACAAGGAGTTGGTAGACGAGAAGAACAAAGCAGCAACCAAGATTCAGGCTCGCTACAGAGGGCACAAGGAGAGGAAAAGCTTCAAAAGAAAACGGTATGAGAGTTAGGAAATGTACACAGTATAGCCCAGAAAACATGATCAAAGATGAATTTTTGACAAACTACACCCATTATCTATTTAGGGAAGCCCAAGAGAAAGAGAAAGCAGAGAAGGCTCTCAAAGAAAAAGAGGAACAGACGCCTGAACCAGAGAAAAGTACAGACGAAGAAAGTGCTTCAGCTCCAGAAAACGAAGCAAGCAACGAGGAAGAGGAAACTAAAGCTGCCGTGGTTCTTCAGAGCAACTTCAGGGGTTACAAGGAGAGGAAAAAGTTTAAGGAGAGGAAAAAGACGATGGCCGGATCCGAGCTAGAGATACCAGACGCTGTGGAGGAAGAGAACCAGGAAGAAGATGGCAAAGAACCGGCCAGCAAAGAAGAAGAAGGGAAAAAGACCACTGATAACCAAGAGGAGAATGATGAAGATGAAGAAAGCACTTATAAAGCAGAAGAGAATGATGATAGTGATCACACTGAGGTGGCAGATGATGAGGAGAACACAGAAGTGGCAGATGAAGCAGTTATTGAGGACGCAGATACTGGAAAAGAAGCTCAGGAGGAGAGTAAGGAGGAGGGTGAGGGGAGTGGACAGGAAAAGACTGCAGGGGATGAAGCTGTCAACTTGGAAGAGGAAACCAAGGCAGCCACTGTTCTCCAGAGTAACTTCAGGGGTCACAAAGAAAGAAAGAGGTTGCAGGAAGAAGGCAAGATTCCAGCAAAGAAGCAGAAAGCAAATAGTCCTGCAGGTGAGGAAGAAGTGCCAGAAAAGGAGGAGACCGAAAAAGAAGCATCACCTGAAGCTGAAGCAGATGCTTCTGCAAGCGATGTCAAGTCAGACGATGCAGACGAGGCCAAAGCAGCTGTGGTGCTTCAAAGCAACTTCCGTGGCCACAAGGAGCGCAAGCGTCTCGAAGAGGAAGGAAAGATTCCCAAGAAAAGGAAGAAGGAGCAAGAGGCTCCACCAGAACCTCCAAAAGAAGAACAGGTCATGCAGACAGAAGAATCAGTGCCAGAATCCCAGGAGGACGTTTCTGCTGAGAACCCAGAGGGACTGGATGAGGAGAAAGCAGCGACTGTCCTTCAGAGTAACTTCAGAGGCCATCGGGACCGGAAGAAACTGAAAGCAGAGAAAGAAGCGAAACAGAAAGCAAAGGAGGAGACTCCCAATGATGCAGAGGAGGAAGCTAAAGAGGAGGCCGTGGATGTTACCGATGTGGTGATAGAACATAAGGACGAGACAGACGCTGAAAAAGAAAGACTGGAGGAGGAGCAGGCTGCAGTGAAGATCCAGAGTAACTTCAGAGGGTACAAGGACAGGAAAAATCTGAAGGCCAACAAGCAGACAGCGCAGAATGAATCCAAGCAGCTGGAGAGTTTCTCCAAGGAGGTAACGGTCTCAAACAGTCGCCTCTATCCTCTCTTTTCTTCCAGCCGTATGTTGTTTATATTTTCCAATCTCCTCCACAGATCACAAGGTCTTCTCAGGACTTTCACGCCTTGCAGCAGAAGTTGAATGAGATCATCCAGGCCCATCAATCAAACCCCGAGAACAATGGCATGTTTGTGAGAGGAAAACCAGTCAATGGCTACGCTCCCCAGCATCAGCAATCAAGTAAGATAAGTGAGATCGGCTCCGTGAAAGACAGATTATGAAGCAATAAATATAATTCATAATGTTGCCATGGATTGACCCGAGGTTAATGCGCATTTTCGCTTCTGTATTCGAAGCCCTGAACCTCGGGTAATAAAGAAAGACAGTCTGTCTATCTGAGAAGGAAATGCATCCATTCTCACAGTCTACTCATCTTTCATTAGTCTTTTTAAGTCTGCTGCAGCAATGACATTAGACACAGGGCAACGCTGAGTGCAGACACAGTCACCCATAGATGTCAGAGTGCAAATGAGTCGCTTTCTGCCACGCTAAAAATAAGATAAAAGGCTTGTAGTTAAGCTTTGAATGTAAATGTCCAAAAACAGTGGCAGGAATTGGCACTAATTCATTGTCAATTATCTCAAAATTAAAAGATGTGTAGGCTGTTCCTGCTTTCTTGATGTAAAAATTAGAAAAAAGAAAGACGGGGAAGATGTTATCGGCAGATGGTGTTCTCTTTTCTCTGTCGTCCGACTTCATTAGATCAGGAAACCTGAGAAAGTCAAGTGCCAAAACAGGAAGCACTTCTCTCCCCGATGTGTCATCAAAAATAAAAATTTGATTTGCACAGGTGATAGCTGTAATTGGTTTCGGGGGTGGCGAGAAGGAGGGAGGCAGCAAATTGAAAGTTCACAGTCTTTGCAAAACCCAGCTGGCAGCTGAAATGTCAGCGTCGTCAGAGGTTCAGGTGTCTCAAGTAAATAATGTAATATTTGTGTATTAGGACTGATGATTTCCTTTGGTTGGCATCGTTAATATTCTACCATTCATTTAGTCGTTTTCAGTTGTATTTAGAAAGCATGGGGTTGACAGTAGGCTTGTCAATCTTGAACATATGTCATGGCTGCCTAAGAATAACTTACGCTTGCTGCAAGAAATTCTGCATCAATCACATTAAATTTCCTTATTCTTTACCATATTCATGAAATAGTTGCTTCAAAGTTGTTGCCATTGTGTGTTCAGACTGAGCTAAACCAATTTATAAAAGCAGAGAGGAGCCATAAAGTCAGTGAACTGATGCAGTAATCTAACATTTGCTTACATTAGCCACAACAAGCTACTGGTACCAGTAAAGCCTTTAATTGTATCCGCTTGTAAAGATTTGACTTAACTTCTTTTAAAAACTGTATCTGGGTCCAAGCTTCTCCTGGGTTGGCTTAGGTTCTTGTCTTTTCAACATGCTGCAGTGCTGTGTCTCATATTGTCTGAGTCCAAAAAAAAACCTTTTCCACCACTTTAATTATGATACAGGTCTTCCCCATCTGTACATTTTTCTTCATTCAAATCAAGAAAAGCTGTTTATTTGTGTTAGTTTTGGCTAAAGGCACATGTTTGTTTGTGCATATGGACACTAGTATGTGGTTGACTGTCACGTATCTAGGTATTCTGATTGTGAAACGTTTTAAATGAAGTGACATTAAGCCTAGAAAAAATTCCCTTGAGAGGATAGTTAGTGTATAGTATCACGTGGTGTGGTATCGTCTTGTGTCTAAAGTAATGAAACGTATCATATCGTGTAGTATTGTATCGTAACTAGGCATGGGGTGGCAGTTCATTGTATGTTATCTATCTGACCTTACTAATCCTCCAAAACCTGGCAAGTATATATGAAGACGTCTTTTATCTTCATTAAAAGTTACAGCAGTCTTGTACGTTTTTTCAGAATTACCGTTGGGCCACAACAACGTGCCAGTCATCTTTACGTGATACGCATCACAGCTCACTACTCAGTAGAGCACCTCAGAGAACACGACTCATCCTTTTATCCCTGCATGGTGCCTCACTAGAGAATCAAATGATCGTGAAAAGGCTTCAATTCGCTTTTGGCACCACAAACAGCGTTTAAACTTGGGAAATTATTCACTTTCTGATTGAGAATGTGATCTTATCTGTCTTTATTGTTAATTTATCCATACAGTGAGCATATGATTAATATAGCTATAAGCACACAGGCTGGAAATTGGGAGACAGTTTGTTTAAAGGTACCAAGATCTGCATTTCTACAACATTCTGTCACAATTTTAAAGTTGCTGGTGTGCAGTTTTTGTTTACTCCACACAAAGCTTTCTAGTCTTGCGAGGCTAAGATGTCTTGCTGATGTCTTGATCAACATATTTACCGTGCAGACATGAAAGTAGTTTCACAAAGTGCACAACACTGAGTGCAGTCTTCCTTTAATCTGGGCATGTTTGCCCTTTTACCGGCTTTTCTCCAGCACAGCGCATGGCCTGAGGTAAAGCAGGATGAATTATCTGTGTTATTTCCACGGGGTCGGCGCAACTCCTATGAAATTACACTTTTTCCAACGCCACTAAGTAATTTCTCCCATCGACAGCACTAATCTGTCCTCGTGAATTTCACTGACGTAATAAACTGAATCGTTTGTGACACACACAATGAAAGCAGAGGGACGCCAGTCACATTGTTCTTCACGGGAAAGGTCATCAAATGTTAATCACGTTTTGTCAGCCGGCGTTTCCAACGATTACGGCAGGAATTAATAAGACCATGTGTAAAATTGGCTTTACTTGTTTGAGCAGTACGGAGTGACCTTTTAGATGGAGTTGTTCAATAATATTACAAAGTTTTCCACCTTCTTTACCTGAGAGCTCCTGCCCATGATGGATTGTTTTTCCCCCTACATGAGCAGTGATTATTAATGAGAAACAAGCAAAGGTCACGCTAATATATTTATAATTGCAATAACATAGATGAGGGACATTGTTTCGGCGTATCACTCATGACAAATATGATAGATTGCAATACGTCCAGTACAGTATGGGTGATGTCAGGCGTGAAGAGCTGCCCAGCCGCCTGCAAACACACCTCTCGCTTTGTGTTCAGTGCCGCGCAGGGGATCGAACTGCGACGGAGTTATTGGACGCTTTTGTTTGTGTCAAAGGTTGTTTCACATAATCTCTGTTGGAAAATTCAAACCAGCCAGATGCCTTTAGGGGTTAAACTGCACAATGTATTGGGGGCGGCTCGATAAGCACAACAAAGTCAGAGGTCAGCGTGCTGTCAGTTCGCGCTCGGCAGTCATTCCAGTAATCCAGTCAGCCGTGTGTAATGATCCCACCGGCGCTCTCCAGCCATCAGATCGCGATGACCAGCCGCGAATTCTTCAGCGAGACTTTGAAACGAAACCCAAAGCGCTGACCTGATGGTTAATGCGGCTGTAATCACTGAAATAGAAAGTCTGTTTTATGGTGATTTTTGCTGTTGACCCCCCAAACTATCACTCCCAGTCATTATGAATAGGTCACAGAATTCTGCACCACCTCCTTCAGATAAATTTAGACAGTTGTTTAATGTCAGTGCCCAATTTTCTTTCTTTCTTTCTCATTTCCGGAGTCTCTCTAATGTTGAGAAAGGCGGAAATCTATTAAAAGAAATACCAACTCGAAATCTGATTTGTATTTAAAGGCCAATTTTGTGACTGTATTTTTCTTCTACCTGTAAATAAAATAGAAAAACAATGCAGATGTTACTTTTACTCTATGGAACTTGTTTGATGCAGTTTGGTTTGCAAAGCATATTTGTAAAAATCAATATTTAACAGCAGCACTCTCACTTCCTGTGGTGCATTCAATTTAAACTACGAAGTCGGAATTTCAAGGTTTCAAGTCCGACATTCAGCTGGAATGCCATTTGTAGTCAGATTTCCAAGAGTGCTGAATTTTATTTAACTCGGAAGTTAAGTTCCAGTACGAGAAGTCAGAAGACCAAGATGGGTGCCTTCAGGAACCTCTTTGCTTTTCTGGTTAGCCGTTGTTAGAGATACCAGGTGACAAACATATTGCGTGGTATTTTCCACATGCAAACACTGCAGCAGCATGTCCACAGAAAGTGTTTTCACAGTCCTGCGTGTATCATAGATTTATGAGACACAGATAAGACTGAAGTGCTAATAAACAGGGCGTTTCTACAGCTTTCACTACAATTGATTCGCGGAACAGGCCGCCTTTATTTTTGTGGTCAAGAGTGGTGACGTTTTTCACAATGAGGGAGCGTTCCAGTGGAAATTCTGATTTATTTTCTGATTTGTTGTACTTGAACACATTCAGTTCACAGCTCCGATTTCTGCTGTAAATGGAGAATATTAGGGGTTAGTGAAGGGCATTCTGGGAAATGTAGGATGTACAAGGCTGCAGAGGGATGCCAATTAAAATTCTCCTAAATTTAAAAATAACTGCAGACTGATGATGTGTAAAAGTGTAGTTAAGGCTCAGTTAATGTAGAGAAGTGATGCATTGTTGTCCGCCTTAGTTGTCTTGGAACAAATGCACAAATTTTAACTGCTCCGTTCAAATCAACCACTACCTGACGTTTTCAACCGTCTTTGTTGCTTTTCAGTGTCTGACAAGAGACAGTCGAGAACCCCCCGCAGAACCCAACAGCCAAAGACCCTGAACACACCGGAGGACTCCACCTATTACACCCTGATTCATGTGAGTCACAGCAGAGGCGGTAAACGATTCCAGATACTTTCAACAACAAAGCTTTGCTGTCGGCTGCAGCACTAACTGCTGTCCCGGAGCTATCGATTGGCAATTTATTTTTTTTCTGTAGTAGTTCTGTTTACGACATATATATCCAGGAAAAGAAACATCAGAGTTTTTAAACAAAAAAAATGTCTGAAAAAGAATTTTCTTCTTGGGCAGTTTCTTTTGTGCCACTCCATTTTTTTTTTATTGTTCTCTTGATATAATTATTTGGAATCTTTCATAATTTCAGAGCACAAAAGCCCAGCTCAGACAAAGCAGCTGTTCTTGTAACGCTGGAGGTTTGTTTACAATGCTGTCAGTTTGTTTTGGTGGACTATGCTGTAGATTTAGTGCGTCTCATCCATAGTTCGATCAATGAACAGTGAAGACCAGAAATTTAACGTTTGAAATAGACTGTTAAACTTTTACTAAATCAGTAGTTTTGCTGCATTTTTAGCGCATTTATTCGTTTAGCTTTTAAAGACAGAGCGGAATTTACTGAAAACCTTTAAAGTAATGACAGTTTATGGTTTAGAAATATTGATTAAAAGATCCTGGTAAATGGGGGTTAAAGTGGACACACGTAAAACTGGAGAGGTGCAGAGTATCCTCAATGCAAAATCATGTTTTTCTTCAAACCTTAAATCTTTGCTTATTGCTTTAAATTCATGCTTTATTTTATCAGGCTTCTGAAGTCGTATTTAGTAAATAAATCATAGCGAGGCTAGCAGCGATGTCAGTAGCTCTGTGAGGTTGTACTTTGTGGTTTGAGCTAAATGCTAACATGCTCGTAATGGCATCCTAAAAAACATCTGTGATAATTAGTCAATAAAAATAGCAATACCAGTAATCTAAAACTGCCAAATATCTGCGTCAATAATCAGCTGAACCAATAATCAGGCGATCCCGAATTATGATTGATTTACTTATAACAATATCCAAACTTTATGAGCCGAAATGTGCATCTTTTAAGAAAAGTACAAGAAAACTATGAGGAAAAACAACATGTGCAGTATTTTGTAGCGATCCATCTAGCAGGTGTTGAGATATCCAAACAAACACGGTGATGTTTAGCAAGTAAAAAGTGAATTACCATGCTGACCATCATCATTTTCTAGGTAAGGATGATAGAAAGGGCAGTAGTTTTGTAGGTACTGCTGTACCAAAGTATTGGACGAACTGAAATGTTAACTTGATAATGGCGTTTAATTTAACCTGAGAAACATGAACATCTGCACCATATTTAATGGGTGTTCATCCAGTATAGCTGTTGAGATATTTCACTCAAAAGCCCAAATACCGTGTCATAGTGGTGCTGGATGAAGAAAGTCTGGGTTTTAACCTAATTTTGATTGTTACTGCAGAAAATGCAACCTAACTGCTGTCCAACTGCTGCAATTTTACAATCATCCTCTCAACACCCATAAGAGTGGGGGGAAAAAACAAAAATTGTATTCTTCTCATGTTCAGCTCAACAGCTCAAATCCACAGAATTTCCTTTTCTGGGTAATATCAAACTAAACATGAGAGGACATGGCATAAAACCCCTCCCTGTTAGTCTGGCCTTCCCTCAAATTCATCATCTTTACTTACGTAAACGCACAACGGTGGGCTTTCTTAAAGTTAAAGTACACAATTACCAAAAGAGAAATGTAAGGAAAGGCCAGATTTAGACGTAAAATAATAAAGTTAAAGTCAAGCTAAATGAAATACAATTGTGCATAAAGATAAGTTTACTTTTATTATTATAACTTCTAAACTTTTTGGCCCACAATGTGCATCTTTGCTTATGAGCACCCTGTGATGAGGCTAAACAGATATTTGGTTGAACGCCGCTGTTGTAAAGTTGACTTTTGTTCCTTGAGCAGCACAGACATCCGTATTGTTGGCCTGACATGTAGTTATCGTTTCTTTGTGTCTCTCCACTCAGCGGTCTGTCCAGGATGACAAACGCAAGCCCAGGAAAGCAGAGTGAGTATCCAGTTCCTATTTCAACTTAATTTTAACAACCCATCACTAGTGTTTTAAGAGGTTGGCCCGCTGCCTGCTTGCTTGCCACTCCTGGGCCAGAGTAATGACTGCAGCCTAGTGCCAACATAAGGACAGTGTCTGGGTTCAAACTTAACGACCTGCGACATTACACACATCCTCAGTTAAATTAATTACCCTCATCTTTTACCTGAACTGCACTGGCTGAATATACTCAATAAGATTTAATGTAAGGAGTCAGAACTCCTTTGCATTGGCGTTATTTTGTGGATAGTTGCAAGATTTGTTAGGTTTTGCAGAAATGTTCTGTGTGTTGGTGATTTTTCTCTGCAAAAACAGATCTTTCTAGAGAAAAAAAAAAAGAAATGAAATGACTAGAACTGTGTGTGTGTGGATGTGTGTTTTCATGCATATGTATGCGTCGTGCAGGCCGCAAGGTGAGCATACCGCCCAGAGTGAGGGGGTGAAGATAGACCGATAGGGCTGGCTGAACAAGCAGGGGCCAGGGTACTTAATCACAGCAGTCTGAAGAGACGCACACACAGACCCACCTTGATGTGCACACACACGATGCAGCATCGCGCAAAACATCAAGGGTAATAATTTGTTAGCAGATAAATAAAGCCGGCGATGGACAGGAGCAGTTTACATGCATCATTAAGGATGAGAAGGTCAGCAGGAACGATGGCATCTCCGGCTGAAGCTGACAGCAGAGGAGGATGGGAGATGGGAAAACGTGGGTGGTGAGGAGCGAAAGAATACAGAGGTGATGATAGTGAACGGGAGTGAAGACGCACAGAAGGAGGAACGGGGAGGGAAGCGGTGATTGTGTAGCACAGATAACTACATTTTAGTGCCACTGTGAACCGCTCGGCATTCTGTCTCTGAAGGATGCAGCCCGATTGGGATTCAGCCTATTGCAAGCTCGTGAAACCTTCCATATTTAAAGCGCACAGAGTTTAAAATGTTGAAAATTACATAGGTAGCAAAGTGTTTTGTGTTTCCAGTCACAGCTGCTGCAGTTTACTAGAAAAAAACAGAGAACCCGGGTAGTTAGCACATAGACTGGATAGAAGAAGTAGATGTAGTCGCCGTTGGTTTTTAGAATACCATTTTGATGCCTTTGGTGCTAGAAGGGACAATATTTTGATAAGACGGTAAAGCTAGGGAGGAGCGGGGGATAGATGTGACTGACATTCATAGGTCCAGTCTCAATCTCCACCCTAAGCCCCAACAACTAAAGCCTCACAGACTTAACCTGGTAAGTGATTGAGTGCAAGAGGCTGGAAGGGCTCGAAATCGTATAAAGAAGAATGCGACAGCCTTCACAACATACCTATCAATCTACTTTGACATTGCCAATACCCATTTCATACGATTACGGGACTTTAATTTGACATTTTTTACTTTCTTAGCTCTTAAGAGAAACCATATTTGGAATTCATCATACCATCGTTGGACAAATAACACAAGTCTATGTTTGTACTTACATATAAACTCGTTTTTCTTGCACCAGTGGGGTTGGTTTCTTCCTCCATATGCTTGCTCCTTAACCTTTTTCTTGAACGCTTCCAGGCTTCCTCTGGTTACCCGGCGTTTAACGTCACAATGCTATTAACCATGGGTAATTCACTTAGGCAAAGTCTGCAGAAAGGGACTTACGGAAAGTGTCCACAAAGGGCTCAAAATGTCTGCTAGGAACTCAAGCACTTGCAGATCTGACAGGAGAGTCGTAGTGCACACTGGGTTTGGGTTATTGACTGTCTAATTGATTAACACAGGTAACACTAAGTTATCTGCTAATGTTAGCGCTAGCTTGCTGGCTACCTTGGCTAGCAATGTGCATCACGTTAACTGTGGTCTTATTTGGGCTGCTAATTTTGGCAAACTGTACTTGCTAGAAAAAAACTGGATGTAAATTTTGTCTTCTGCCCAAATACGCAAAAGTCCATGTGGACACCACCATCGAGGTTAAACTTGTAGCTACCATGGCAGCAGTGTGCATGCACAGAATACATAGATATCACCTGCTGCATGTATATGCAAAGGAGTCCTCCAAGCGGACTCCATGCAGACTAGAAAGTACTATGATTACAACTACGACTCCATGGCAAGCCAAAGGAGCATAATCAAATTGTCTTAGTGTAACTGAATGTTGAAGAAGACATTTTCAGGTGAGCACAATGTTACAGTTAATGAACAAAATGCTCGATGGGGAAGGGTCGAAGTACGAAGACGAAGACAAACACCCAAAAGACAAATTCCCAGTTATGTTCTGCACAGTGCGATGAACGCACATTGCTTTCCTGATTGGTTGCAATTGTAGCTACTTGTCAAACAGAAGGTAGCCACGCTCGAAAGAACAACCTGCTGAGACCGTAAATTACAAAATGAACACCATGCTGTAGTGCAGGAGACTTGAAACTAGCAAATGAGACCATAAGCTCACAAGAGAAAGGTTTACTGAGGTAACAAATCAAATAAGAAGTGAGGCCATTTCCTTGTAGACTTCCATACAATCGCACTTTCTTTTGCATCCAGTGGTGTCGCCCTCATCATCAGTAAACTCGGAAATAACCAGCATCTGTATCAAAAGTGGTTAACCTTTGAGGGCATTTGCTTATTACCAGTTTGCAGTTTGTGGCACTTTAGGTGGTGTTATTATAAAAAGTTCTCACAAAAGTTGTTAGAATGAATCCCTAATTTTATGACAGTCCATCTAGGAGTTGTCGAAACTTTTAACTCCAACTCACAATGCCAAGGTTATCAAAGTAGGTTTAAAAAAAGCATAGGTATTTGCAAAAAATGTCATTGTAATCCATCAAATAATGGAGAGATTTCGGTCTGGACTCCCATCCCTAAAGCCGTGCACAGCTAAAAATACCAATATAGACCACAGTGATTGAGATGTGACCCCTGAAAGGTAAAGGGAATATTACCACTTCAGCATTATGAAACTGGTGTTGTGGTCCGAAATCTGAACTAAAAAGATCCGCTTCATCCTACTTTAACCTTTACCTAGCATCAGTGTTATCCAGCACTAGGTGTAAAAGCTAATAACCTGATATAATAGATGGTAAAAATCTTGTCCAGGCCAATGTCAATGAGCTTTTCCTGCTGCGTGAGACAGATAATTCAATGGCCAATGGTCCAGACAACAGGGAGGTAATTACAATCAAGGAGAGATTTTCATCGCAGCCTCTGAACAGCATATTTATCATGATTCATCAGTGATTATGTGCCCACCCCGCCTCCAAAATTATTAGGGCAGGTCAGGCCTGGAGCTCATCCCAGTGCTGGAGTGAGATCAGTTTTCTGGGCAGTAGTTTTGGACATATGCAGATTTGGAGTGAAATCCCATCACCATATGTTAATAATGTGCGAAACGTATTGATCTCCACACGGAAATGGTCTTTTTCACACTTCCATTCAAATGGAGGTCAGAGCGAGGGTTCGGCTTCGTAACATCCCCACAGAGCTGAGAGGAAAGCTGCACGGTGCAGAAGGACACTTTACACAGTCTGGTGAGCAGATACTTGCAGACTAGGGGCCTGAAAATGATCCTCTTTTTCTCCGTGATGTTTCGCCGTACTGTTTCAAAGTCACTACTGCCACAGAGGCGCATTTTGAAGAAGTTAAACCAGCTGACGAGACCATAGTTGCTTCGGGATAACGCACCGAGTAAGGAGTTTATATTTTGAGAATGAAGTTGGGGATTTTCTTTGTCACTTTTATACAGAAAGTTTTGTTGGCACCAGTGTGAAACAGCTGCAAAACTGCATCTAAATATGTTAAAACACAAGCTAGAGAGCACGAGGATCTCCAACAGCTACTTGAGAGAAAACAAAAAGATGTAATCCTCTGGCTTTTGACCAATGTTTAGCACAACTGTGTTTTGTGTCTTGTTTTTTAAGCAGCTGTTGAGAGAGCAATCTATGTTACAGATCAGGCCGTAACTACTGAGGCAAACAACTCTGATCAAGAGAATAGATCATTGGTGTGTCCTCTCCTCTCTGAAAGTTAAGTTGGGAACTCATGAATAAGAAAAAATGACTGCTTTATCTCGCCAAATTAACATTACTACACAGCAAATTAAAAGGGCGTGGGAGCATTTCTTTCCATATCTAGATCAAGAAAACTGCTGGTTTGGTGCGAACTCCTGTTGGTCTAAGTCTCTTTATATTTCAGCAACAACGTCCTTATTTTGGATTAAACTGACCATGATGTTCATATTTGTTTAATTAAATGTACTGGTATTTATCACTGGAGTAGTAAAAGTTACAGAGGATTTCAGGCAATTTGCAAATTATTTCTAGTTACATATACTGATAAATAGTGAACTGTATGTTTCATCTTTGATAATAGTTGATACAGGTAATAGAAATGCATTTCCTTAATTTTGAAGAGGTTTTAAGGGCGATCACACCTTTGGTCAGTCATATCACCTGTAGGAGGAGCCTAAATAAAGCCTGGTTTGGTTGTTGTTCTGTAAAATCATGACGAAAGCTTAATTACATTTCTGTTTTTTTCCTCCTTTATGTCCAAAGCTGCAGTTTTATTCTTGTTTTTTACCAACGTTTTTCTTCTCACATAGATTCTGTCCTTAAATAAGTGCTGTTTTTGAATCACAAGCATGATTTAAAGTTTACTCTGGGATTATTCTGTTTTTTAACTCACGTGGGATAACATTAATAAGTGAAACTTTTAAAAAAATGGCTCCTTCAGAAGAGATTATTCATGTTTGACTGCATAAAAACAGTCCCAACAAACAAACCGAGGCCTGAATGTGTGGTTGACATCAAGTCCATCCTCCTCTCTTTGTATTCTAGTCCAGGGAAACAGCTGGATGTGGATGACCAGTACTACCGGGCCCTGTCCACCAGCAGCTCCGATCCCTCCATGTCCACAGAGGCAGCTTCACCCAGCAGCATGCCTGAGAGGAGGCAGTCTGTTGGGAGGCGACGGTCCACGGACAGGAGGCGATCTATGGACAGGAGGCAGTTAGGGGACCGGCGGCAGTCTGCAGAACTGAGACAGGCGGGTTCTAGTCGACACACCAGAGAGAGGGCCGTCACAGAACCAGAGGCTGCCAAACCTGCCAAAGACAACAGGTGAGTCGTCTGTGTTTTTGATGTGGAGTATCTTAAACCTGCATTGTTTCTAACAGCCAGGAGGGGGCGCCTCCTCCGTTTGCAAAAAGAAGTAAAAGTCTATGAGAAAATGATCCTACTTCACCTTCGATTTATTACCAAAGTAAACATTTTTCTGATGGGTTTATTGTCTCAATGGCTAGTTTAAAGTCTCCTTGATTATAAAATTATGTTCATTTTGTGCGTTATGGTTCCATTTAGAGTACAACAGACGATAAACACTGGTATTTTTAAGGTACCTTAACACTGACAGGACGCTGCCATATGGTTTTTAAGTTCTAGAGTGAAATCCACTGCTTGCCAAGACCAAGATGGCGAAATTCAAACGTACGGCTTCAAAATAGTAGTTTATAAATCAATAAATGACATCACAGTAGATAGGTTCATCTTCTATTTAGTTTACGGCTGCCTGTTACAAAAAAAACCAACTTCCCAAGGTGCCTCAAATAAATGATTGAATTTGATTTGTGATGCTGTGAGGTTAGTGGTAATAATTTGTTCAGCAGCAACTGATTTACTCTGTGAGATGTCTATATCTTTGTTTACAGATTATCTTATTTTTTTTTAAAAATACCGCCGTTGAATTCCACATTCCAGTTGTTCAAAGGACCAGTCCACATATGAATGTCATCCATTTTCCCCTCCTGCCTGGTCATTTCTCCAGACAGCCCACGCACATGATGAATGGCAGAAGATGATAAACAATATGAAAACCTCTCCAACTTGAATCTTTTCATTTCCTTTTTTTTTCCCCCATTGGGTTTTTGTTTGTTTGTTTATATCTTTCCCCTGCTTTTTGCCGTCTGTCTTTGTGGTGAAGCTCACGGCTGTCTCCTGTGTTGCGTTGGCAGGCGTTCTGTTCCCAGGATGTCCTCCACAGAGAGTCGCACCGAGGACAATCCGTACGACTTCAGACACCTGCTGAGGAAGACCTCGCAGAGACGAAGACTCATCAAACAGTACTGAACGCAGGGTGGAACATTTTGGCCATTTGGCACCGAATCTGTCCAAATTATATCATGGTATATGAGCACAAACACGTATTTAATACATTTGATTGAATACAGCTTCACAACACTTCTGCTGGAAATGAAACTGCTGCGCTCATCACTGGATGCACTGATTTCAAGCTAATGATGTTGGATAAAGAGTTAATGTAAATAACAAGATTATACACGTTTAATCTTTAATCTGTAAATTAAGATTTATTTATGAGCTCTGTAATGTAGTCATTGATATACTGCATTTTCTCTTCGCTTCTAAAAACTTGCAGGTCATGAATTTGAACACTTTCAATTCATTTTGAAGAACATATCTTTGAAAAATCCTCATCTGCAGCATTTTAATATAAATGTACATTCTCTCTGCTGTAATGTCTGGTTTCTTCATTTAAACATAAAATATATGAAATTACGCAACGTGTGTCCTCTGTTTCATCGAGCTGCTTCGCGTTTAGCCGCTAGCTTGGCCTCCCCGTTCAAGATGAATCATTTTGAAGGAATTCTGTGTGTGGATCCATATTCAGTCGGTCTATTTTAAAGGACCCGTGCTTTAAATTCCCCTCGACCCCTGCTGCTCTGCACACAATAATCCCTGCATTTAAAATGGTTTTATTTTTATTTATTGAAAAGATTTGTGCAGATGTTTTGTGAGAAAAAAAAAAATATTCCAAGCTGGCAGAAGCAGATGTGTCATGATGGTATCAAAGCAGCTCATGTGAATTCTTGTACTCGTCTTTTCCACACTGACTTGAGCATTTCTTTCAGATTCAACCACTAACCTTTACAGTGACATTTGAAAGGAGAAACCCCCCACAGGGGTTGTTAGTGAATCCCCAGCTACATGCTGGCTGCACACTGGCAGAAAAAACTACATATATGGGACTAAATACATCCTGAAAAAACACAGACAACAAGAGAAAACAACAGAATTTTTTTCTATTTTCCATTGATCCTGCTGGGAATTAGCAGACAGTAGCTGCATGGGTTCATCATTCAATTTTTAAAAAAAAAAATACTATTGGAATCATTTAAAATGTGAAAAATACACAATACTGTCAAAAATGTTAATTGAAAATTTAAATTTGCTGGGAAAAAAAATCAAAAATGGAGGTTGTTATGAGTCATTTATGGGAAACCACAAGCCTTACTGTACACCAAATGATCTTTGCCAAAGGGTTCAGTTTATTTTAATCAGTATTTTTTTTTTTTTTTTTTTTTTTTTGGCGTTTGAAGGTTGTTGGCGATTGCATTCATAAATCACAGCAGATGTGGTTCGATCTTGATGCCCGCAGGGTCCGTTTGCTCTCATTCACGGAGACGTGATAAGAAAACAGCGGAGAAGGAAGAAGGGAAGGTGGCAGTGCCGGCATTTTTATTTTTTATTTTTTTATTTTTTGCACCGTAATTTGGAAATTTGCAATTTCTATTCCTTGCCTTAGCCAATCCAAACTCTCCAAAACCAGATGCGTAAACACATCCAGATCCAGATAGGCACAGAAGAGCTTGAATTTATTTTGGTTTTAAAAGAATATTTCTGACATTTTTGTGGGGAAAAAAAATGTCACAGAAAGAGATTTGTGAAAAGTGCGAATCCTGCGTGATGAACACTTGGGGAGGAACGCGCCCCGGCACAGAGCGCAGAGAGGAGGGACCCGTGCGCACTTTGTGTATTTGAACCGACTCCTCTCGCCGCCCCGCTGTTTTTTCCTGCACCGGAGGCGGGCAATTAGAACAGCCGGTCTCCAAAAAAAAAAAAAAAAAAGCTGGGTCCGATGAATTAGTTTGGCATTCGCTGCCTGTATGGAGGCTAAGTTCAGCGCGCAGAGGGGACGAAAATGTTGGGGATCTATGGAGTCACGACGCACGACGCAAACGCAAGCTCGTCATGACCTGAAGTGAATCACGATGGGATTTCTTTAGTGACGTGAAATTTAGGTTGGATGCAATTAGGCATGGCTTGCGTGCTGCATATTTACCAGCAGCTGTAAGCGCCATAGCTGCTTTTTTTTTTTTAAAACACCACTTTCCATCATCTCGTCTTCTTTCTTTTTTTTTTCTTCTTCTTTTTTTTGGCTTTAATCAGAAATGTAGCTTCCCATCACGAGCAGAAATTTCCCTGCATCCTAAACTTGCTCCTGCTATATTTTTCTCCCCTCCTCTCTCTCTCTTCTCGTGGCTGCTGCGCTCCGGTGAAGTCTAGTGTTTGCGGATTTCTCTGTGGAGACGCTGCTGCTCCATGCTTCCTGCACCTGTGGACGCCCGCACAAGGGGGACGCTTTTTTCCTTATTTGTGTGCGCGTTTCTCCATTATTCCCCACCGCGCTCGCTTTATTTTTTAGGGTGCTTCTTTCCCTCCCCTGTAGCATAAAGTCGGATGCACGGCTGGATTTGCAGCAATCTGGTCACATTCAGCACCACATCAGCTCGGAACAGCTCCCGCTCGTCGCGTGTGGATGGGCTCTGCCGGTCTCCGTGTCTCCTGCAGCTCCTAACTACCGGCAACAATGGCATCACAAGGTTTCTGGTCTCTTGGCGGAGATAATGCGGGGGCCAACACCGGCAATCAGAGCCCCAGTACGCGTGAGTGGCTTTTTTTTTTTCTCCAAACCAGCTCTCCTGGACTTGAACGCAGCATTAATTCCAGTGCATTGTCTGAAGCACAGCCAGACAGGCCTGCTGCTGCACTTCTGCTTTTTTTCTGTCTTGTTTTACGCACCAGGAGGCTTCTTTTTGTGTCTATTTATCCAAGTTGCATGGCCCTTTTTTTCGTGTGTTAAAGTTGGACTGAACCTGAAGCACCCTCATCTGATTTGTCCCCCTTCTCTCTTGCAGCCAGGGCTTGGTGCCAAGCGGCGGCCCAGAAATTATCCGGAGGAATCGGATCGAAATTATGTGGTATGTTGGTTTGACGGCGGAGGGAGTGAGCTGGTGGTGGTGGTGGGTGAGGGAGGTGGATTGATGAGGATGGGGGGACGCTATCTGCGTATTTCCATCGTTATATTATTACAGCCTGTCGATGAGGTGATAAAAAAATATATTATGTCGATGCTGTTTTGTGGGTTTCCAAAGCGCTGCTCAATGTCGGGGAAGGGGAGAAACCCGGAGAGCCGGCCGCCAAGCAGCCGCCGGAGACCGCTGCTGGAACCTGCGGCTGCAACAAATCCTGCAACTGCACCAAAGCTCCTTTGGTCTTCTCCGACCTCTATTCAACAGGTACAGAAAAAAAAAGCACAATGTAAAGCTGCATTTTTCAACAGTATGTGACTCCTGGTGTGTTTTCCTGCATCCAAACGTGGCCTTGCATTGCGTAATTCTCATTTAAATCCATTTTAAACGCATATTTTAGCTGCTATTCCTTTTAAATAAATACAAATCATTCCACAACACGTTAAATAATTGCACCTACTGTCGCAAACTTTCCAATAATTATCAATAAAGTGGCACCGATTTGGAAAAATAACTATAATATATGAAAATCTGCCTTTTTATCGAGAATAAAACAATTATTTACACCTGTAGACATTTTTAAATGTTTGCCAGATGCAGTGGAGGGTTATGATTTGCAGAAGGAGGGATATTTCGGAGAGGTCACCTTCACAAAAACCTCCTGTTTTAAGGTGTTGAGCGCAGCAGAAATCCACCAAAATCTAAATATCATTTTTCAACCTGTAAAAATAATAAGAGGTGCTGTCTTTTTATCTACAGCATTATTTCACAGCAAAATTGCAGATTTAAAGGCCTGCAAATGTTGCATGGGAACACTCTCTTACATTCCTTTAAATCCTTACATATAAATCACAAAATGTCTCCACTGCTGCTGCTGATTTATTTTTTCTTCTCCATCCTCAGACCTGTTACCTGCCATGGATGGTGACACCAAAACAATGACCTTCCTGCAAGAAGTTGTGGATATTTTACTGGCCTACATTGTGGAGTCTTTCGACCGGGAAACGAAAGTGATCGATTTTCATTATCCAAACGAGCTGCTCCAGATGAACAACTGGGAGCTGCAGGACGAGCCGGCCACTCTGGATGATATCTTGATCAGCTGTCGCGCAACGCTCAAATACGCCATCAAAACAGGTAGGAGAGGGGTTCTTTTTTATTTATTGCATGCATGCAAGATATTAAATGTGCAAGTGTGACAACGTGCAGAAATCTTTCATTTATCTCGGCATGCTGGGATTTTATTTTTTATTTTAGGCCTGGATTGCGGCCTGCTGCATGCTTTTGTGTGGAAATTGCAACACCTAAAACGGCAATTAAAATAATATTAAAATAACAAAGAGCCACCATGAGAGCAAAGAAAAACATATAATGTACAAATTATTTTTTTAAAAAGTTCTTACATTTATTGACAAATAAAATATTTTATTGCACAAGCTCCAAAAATAGAGCAAAATGAGTAAAATAAAGAACAATTACATGCATTATTCTGTGTTTTAAAAATATTAATAGTAATAAATGAGGCCTGTAAAGCATCAACATGGAAGTTGTCCTCCTTTTTTTTCTCCTCCTCCTCCTTCTGGCCAGCAGACCGATAAATGCAGTGACGCAGTAAATCTGGTTCAGCAAGTAGGAGATAATGGGCTAATAACCAGGCTTCATAGGCCAAGTCCATTATTGTCTCCTGAGTGACACACAGCAGGAGCACGTTTACAGCAACAGCTCAGGACAGAACCAAACACACAACAAAGATAGTTTTCTGGATTTATTTTTTCTTCTGTCTACCATTTAATAAAAGCTTTTTAATGCAGCTTCTAAGTACATTTTTGAATATTTATTCATGCACAGTATTTGTCAGCAGTTTTAACCTCTGCTGTGAGGAGGAAATACTAATATCTGCGTACAGCTACAGTGTTTTACAAACCATTTAGCTGCTCCTACAGTGTCTATAAATTATTTTTTAAAAGAATAAATACAGCTTGTGTTACAAATCCTTATAATAAAAGAGTAGTGGATTTATTTTGGGGTGTGTTAACCCTTTAATAAATCTCCACTCACCAAATGTCCTCCCCTATCTCCCCACACGTTTCTAACTTGCAATTAAAGCCTTCAGAAGATGACACATCCTGTTCCTCTTCCACCAAACTCAGCACAAACAGGCGCACGAAGCACATTTCAATTTTCCTGACTCCAGATAAAGCTGCAGCTGCCTCACGCCCTGCTTCTCTTCCTCCATTCCTCTCCATCCAGCCCACCCCAGGTACTTCAATCAGCTCTCCACAGGATTAGACATGGTCGGGCTGGCAGCCGATTGGCTAACATCCACCGCCAACACCAACATGTAAGTATTTGGCCCTGCCTCATCCCGATTTTAAATGGTGATAATGATAATGACAATGAATTCCATTTCCGGTCCATCTGTACGCACTCTGCTGTGCGTCTGCACCGGCTGATAGCGGCTTCTTCTTCTTCTTCTTTTTTTTTTTTTCTTTGTCACTCAATCATGGCAAATGAAAAGGGGTGAAATGAAAGACACCCCTCCTTTACTCCCCCACTTCACCCCCCTCCCACCTCTTGCCTTTTATCCCTCCCCCTCACCTCTGATCCCCACGGGGATTCAAGGGGAGGAAAATTAGCTCTGAAATTAAATTCAGACTAATCTGAAGCTAATTTCAGATGTGTGTTTTCGGGTTGATAAACTCCTCGGCTCTGGCAAACCGTGAGGCAACATAAGGCTGCTGTTGACACTGCGGATTTTAAAACTACTGCAGCAAATACACCATGTATTAATAGGGAATATATATATAAATATATGACATGGCACACACTGATAATATGCTTGTGCAGCAGCAGGAGGGATGAAAACATGAGACTTCTCAACAGCAAGGAGCAGATTTTGATGTAGAACATTAAACATTTTCCAAAAAAATCATATATTTTTATGAATGCTGGTATATTTTCTCAAAGGCAAGAAAGCATCAGTGTATTTTTTCCTCTTTAGAAATGAATCTGAAGCCAATAATGCTGCACTTCCTTCACTGTTTTCTAAGAATTTGAGCCTTTTTTTTTAAAGCCACCAACTCTGACGCCCAAAATGCAGTAAAAAAACACCCATCCTGGCAATTCTTTTGGTGATGAGTCATGACAGCACCGTATTTGTGTAACCAGCGAGGCCATGTGATGTACCTTGTGTAACGCAGGTTCACCTATGAGGTGGCTCCTGTCTTTGTGCTGCTGGAATACGTCACTCTGAAGAAGATGAGGGAGATCATTGGCTGGCCGGACGGGCGAGGAGATGGCATTTTCTCTCCGGGTACGTACCCAGCCACCCCTCCGCTCCACTGGAAATGGAACTTGCCTCTGTGTGCTGTAATGTGTCAATTTGCATTTTGATGATATAAATGGAACTCGTTTCAAAGCCAATTAGCATAAAACAATTTTCTTTTTCTAGCTTAAGCCCCCCATCACTCCCCCTCCCTTCCCTTCCCAGTCTTTAATTTGCTCTCGTGGCTGACACATGATGAGCAGCAATCACTGGAGACTTTAATGACAAAGCCTGTGATTGGCTGTGACACTGTGGACACTGAGCTGTGGTTCTGGTCCCCCTGGTGTCATCTTAACAGGCTGTAAACAAAGAGTTTTGTTGTTGTTTCTGGGTTTTTAACATGCACGGACATCCTGGAAGTCTTGTTTCAGTTAGAATCCCTGCATCACTCCCCTGAGACACCGACTGGCTGTAAATCACTGAGTCCTGTCTCTCCTCCAGGTGGTGCTATTTCTAATATGTATGCCATGCTGCTGGCCCGCTTCAAGATGTTCCCTGAGGTGAAAGAGAAAGGGATGTCGTCTGTTCCCAGATTGGTGGCCTTCACGTCCGAACATGTAGGCGTTTGTACTTAAACACAGCTCTCTGCATCGTCTGTCTGTCTGCATGGATCAAATAATGAACATTTTCTAAAATATAATGTGAATATATTCTTTTCATGTACAAAAACACTCCCACATTAGCTGCTGCTGTCTTTTCAAAAGTGACTTTGTGTCACTTTTCTCAGCAGCGGCGCTGATGTAAAGCTGACATTATGTGTCAGACGCAGAAGGACACGAGGTGACCGCTGTGTCTGTCACATTATATGTCACCTCTTTCATCTTTAAAGGACATTTGAAAGATGCTAAAGCCATTAAAGGACACACAAACCCTTCATTATTGCTGCACACTGACTATACCTATGTTCCTGCTCTCATCTGGTTTCTCTTCTCTGGTCTTTCAGAGCCATTTTTCAATCAAGAAAGGTGCAGCGGCTCTTGGCATCGGCACTGAAAGTGTGATCTGCATCAAAGCAGATGAAAGGTACAGTCGCGTTTCAATCATTTTCCACCGGTGGGAAATAATTGAGTGCATTTGCTGGAATATTAGGAGTATGTAACCACTGTGGTGGAAATGTGAGGGGTTGGGATGTTATCTTCAGGGTAAATGGGTGCAGGTGTGGTTCTACAACAAACATACAAACAAGGTATTAACCCACAAACACAATGACACCACCAACGGCACTCATTATCAGTGTGTTGGTGCCAACAGATGCCACTAATTAACAAATGACTGGGGTTCCAAAATGGCATTAACCTATCACCACTGTTATCGTAATGCGCTCCTGTGATGATCGTGGCATCAATGGGAGAGTTTAATTGGAGCCTTTGAGTTGGTAACAGCCACTGTTTTACTATTACAGCTGATTTGGTAACACTTCATGCTAATAAATTTAATTCCATCCATACATACTACAGTGCCAGTGGAGGCACTAAAGAAATACACTATTCTACTTAAAGATTTCTGAATACACACATGCATTAATGGCAGTATTATTACTGTATTTTCACGCTTTGCCCTCAAAGCTTCTACGATTGTTTCAGTTAAAACCTGCAGAATTTTTGTCTCCCCCTTCTGGCAGTGAGAATAATTGCACCAATATTGTTGACACACTGTTGATCTTTCTCATTTTTAGGTTGCAATCCTTCCTCTGAACGTAGAGTTTCTTTTATATCGCTAGCAGCTGAAGTTTTTCTTGAATGCATCCCAGTTATTCCACCATAAGCTCCATGATGTGCCTAGCGACGGTTACCTACTGTTACGGTTGCTTACGTAGACTGTATGTGAAGAAATGTGCAGCTCAGTGTGGTGGATCTGGCTGTTGACGGTCCTTTAAGGTCCCCACAAGCAGCCACGCTCAAAATGATGCATGCCTGTAAGCCTTAATACAAT